AGCCATTTGTCAGAGGATCAGGAACAGAGCCATGAGCCCAACCCATTTTCTTCACAATGCAGTTTAATACTGTAAATCACTTTCCCTCTTTATGAAACCATAGCTTGATATTGTGTGCAGACTGTCGTTTGAGTAAGCCCGTCAAACAAGAGCTGCAAATAAAGAACAAAGTCTGGTTTGCAGTCCTGGTTAGGAGGACACAGTCCAACAATGAATAGTTTAGCAGTTTGGTGTATGAGTTCTGCTGAAGAGCAGTAGTGATGAGTGAGCCGCATGCAGCCGAACCTTCTTACGATTCCACTCTATGCCTAACTCTGCACACATCCACTCCACTTGAATGGTCAGCACCATAATTTTGGCATGTGGCTTGCCATTCCCAAATAATGCTGGTGGAATACATTGGAAACAAAAATAAATTTTGATGCAAGTCAACTTTTTTATAAAGTCAGGGGAAAACACCTTAGGATACGGTGGGTTATAGTAATATATATTTTCATTTAAGGATATGCATATTTACTACTTGCCTCACAGGTGAATTGTGAAGCTCAGCTGTGGGTATGGGGGATGGTTAATGGCAGAAAATAAATCAAGCTGTTTTAAAATAGAATATTGCTAAAACAGACTGAAAGCATAATCCAGGCATGGTGATATTTTTCAGCATCCATGCTATTGATAGAAACTGAGTGTCAGCATCATATATCCCCTAAAGTAAAGCTAAAACGGTTACAGAAAACGTTTTTTTAACCTATACAGATATTTGGTGGAGACCCAGAGCAAAAATTATAATAGCTTTTAAAATCATTGGGGATTTTTGTTAATAGGGAAAATATCACTATACAAGCATGGTGGGAAGTCTCTTAAGGATTTGTCTTAACCCTTTTTGCTTTCAATCAATCCATCCAACAAATGGATGAGTACTTGAACTAGTTTTGCTAACAGCTAGGAATCCAGAGTAATAAATGTGCATTCAGTTAGAGAAAGCACCAGTATCAGATTACAGCTCAGGTCAGCCATGAAATTGCAGCAGTACTTTTATTTATTTATTTATTTGTTTGTTTGTTTTTAAAGGACCATTGTATGCTAACAGACAAGACCTATCTGTTTTTCTCCACCACTGGTATTGAATTTCTAAATTGCTTCCATGGTTCAAGAAGCTCTGGTACCATTTGTGTTGTGTCACTAACAAAATATGCATAGGTGGAGCAAGTCTCCAGGAATCTAATAATCATGTGTCAACAGCAGAGGAAAGCTTCAGTTTTCTCTTTATGAATAAAACATTTTCAATATCGCTTTCATTTTTCAAATCCTGAAATCCAACAGCTTAAAATCCTGGTTTGGTAGTACCATCCCTATTTGACTTTGGTGGGCTTGTTTGGCACTTGCTGAGGGGGTCACGGGATAGGTGTGTAAACTTTAGGCATTTGCGACGTCCCAGAGATCAAAGACTCCACGCTGGGATGAAATCACACATGCATACTTTACATTATTGTACAGAGGTGCTTGTGCAATTAGGAGGTGACATAGGTGTGAGCCAGGTGTACCCAGGCACACCCTATTATATGGGTGGGGTCAAGGGAAGCAGACAGGGAGATGCAGGCAGAAGAAAAAGGCTGGAATGGATCTGAAGTTTCTGCCTGTGTCTGTTTCTGGATGCAGCCAGGGGGTGACTGGCTCCAGTGATGACAGCAATGGAAAACGATGGACTCCTCTGCAGACAGAAGCTGCAGGTCCACCCCAGCGTTTTTCTTCTGCCTGCATATGTCTCCGTGTCATGGCTCTGTCTCCATCTGAGCTCCACTGGCCACCTTTTGTGGAGGGGCTGCTTTTTGTGGCACGCAAACAAGGAGAAGGAGGCACTATCCTGCGCTTGGCCCTCGAAGTCTGACCTGCCTCTGCTCAGCTTGACATGGGTCTTTTTCTCTGCAGGAAAAACTCTCCTTTTTGGCTTCTTGGAAGTCAAACCACAACTCTTGTTGTGGTTGTTTTGTTAGCTTTTTACATAGTTACCTCTTCCTAGTACTTGTATGTCTTGTCGTCCCCCACCTCTTCTTCCTTCGTTGAAATAATTTTTTAAAAAAATCCCTGAGGAATGAAATGTGCTATGCACACCTTTGGGAAGTGTTTGGGCACAACCACATTGGCATTCATGAGAGCTGCTCAAGAGTGGTTCCTTAGCATGTACCAGGAGGTGAAATTAAAAAGTTACAGATGCAATCCCACCATTAAAAAACAGCAAAGGCCAGTTTTCTTTTGAAACATTTCTATGTGAGGGATTTTATTCATCCAAACCTGAATTACACAAAGTTAGCCACAATTATTATTAATTATTATTAATGAGGGATCTATGACAATAACTTATTCAACTGGCAGATCTTGTAATTCCCTTAAAGATGAATTCTCAGAGCTGTAATAAAACTGCCACCTCATTTTTTTTAAAAAATGACACTAACAGTATTATCACTCACCCTCACCCAGGAGAATCTGGGAAGAACATCAGAAAATGATGAGAACAGTGCTCAAAACCGTAATTGTAAGCATGGCCTTCTTGTTCTTTAAACAGAACTAGAACAACTTTATGCCTTAAATTAACCATGAATTATATTGTTTAGTGCATTTCTTCTGCCAAAAGTACTACAATTGATGGATTGTGCATCCATCTGCTAGAAATGTTCAGTGCAATACAGTGGTACCTTGGTTTACAACCATAATCTGTTCTGGAGGTCCATTTGTAAACCAAAACAGGTTGTAACCCAAGGCAAGCTTTCGCCAATGGGGCTTCCAAAAAAAATTTGTTCGTAATCCCCCAAAAATGGGTTGTAATCCAAAAAAAGGTTGCAAACTGGGACACGCACTTCCAGGATTGACGTGTTTGTAATCCAAAACGTATGCAAACCAAGACGTATGCAAACCAAGGTACCACTGTACTATGCTTATTTAGTAATTGTTCAAGAGACAACTGTGAACTGTTGGGTGGTAAAAGCATAAATAGCTTGACTAGAGAGAGAAAGGAAAGTGCTCTCTAGGCAGGTCAGAGGCAATATACTTGCAGTTTCCAATAACAGTTCTTTTAAGACCAAAATATGCATATTAGTACTTCAGTGGTTTGAATTTTCAGTCATCTGATTAAAATGTTTCAGTAAGTTTTGCAAGTTTGATCTTCGAGTAACTTGCCTATCTTTGACCAACTTTGTGTCTGCCAGTTGAGAGTAATTATTTGTTGTTGTTTTCCAGGGGTGTTATTATTGTCCAGTAGGTGGCACTAGTATTTCTACCACAAATCTTCTGAAATACACCTGGTCTTTTGAAAACATTCGTGCTGGTCCCATGCAGTTTTAAAGTGCTCTGAACAGCTGGTTTCCCCACTCTTATACGTTGTTCTGAAACTGCTTTTTGCAGGTGTTGTTCCAATACTGAGATACAATCAACGAACTCAAACTTCCCCATTCTACGAATAAACAAGATAGTTTTCCTAACAGCAAAACCAATGTACAATATGACAGCACTGACATCAGAAGGAATAATTAAAGTTTTCAGCCAACCATTATTGTAAAAAGTATTCCTCTGATGTGACAGTCTTCCTCAGCACTGTCCTGTGAGGAGTCGTGCTCTTACACTAATTGTATTTTCCCCTCAGTTTGCCTTACTTTGCGGCTGATTTTTTTTTGCAAGCATTGCAACACTTCCCTATTGCAGGACAGGGCTTGTGTCTCTGGCAGCCTCCACACTGCATGCACTTCTTTCAGCAAGGTGTAAACTTGCTCGTTTTGCATCTAGGACTACTGCAGCTTCCATCTTCACTAATTGTATCTATGGAAACATTTGCAGTTTTTCCTCTCCAGGGCTTGCATTCTAGGCAGCTTGTGCAGCCTTGAATGCCTTTCTAGCATTAGATTGCAGTCTTCTAAGAGTCTTTTTTTGCAGTTTCCAGTCTCTAATCCCCAAAGCTATCAGATCTCTAATTAATGACTCTGTTAAACTCCCAAAGTCACATATCTGATTCATCAGTTTAGGGTCAGTAAGGAATTCTTTCAATGTTTCCCCTTTATGCTACACTCTTGAGCTAAAACTCACACCTTTCATAAGTCTCGTTCCTGGTCATGCAATACTCAAATTTATTTAGAACCAAGCCTGCTCTTCCTGGCTTAATTGCACAGCATGGAAAATATCCACTGCCTCATGCCCTGCTATATGAAAAAACATAGGTATCTTTTGGAGATCCTCTTTTTTCTTCCATTACTGTAGCTTGCATACAGATGGCGAAGTCATGTTTAAACCTTTCCCTGAAATCTGCTCCATTGCCATTCCATGTGTTATGTGGCCCCCGACAGGTTTGTCATGAGGGAGTGTGGCCCTTCCTCACCCCTGATTTAGCTGCTACAGTACTGGCTGAAACAACACACCCAGTTTGCTTGTGCAACATATCCTTCTCTGTTGCCTGATTGGCCTAGAATTCTGTAGTAATTGGACCTCCTTATCAACAACAACAACAACAACAACAAATAAGAAGAAGAAGAAGAATTTATTATTTGTACCCTGCCCATCTGGCTGGGTTTCCCCAACCACTCTGGGCAGCTTCCAACAACGATTAAAAATACATTAAAATCTTATCACCTGCTTGCACTTTGTACCTGATAAAATGGACTCTAGTCCATAAAAGCTTATGCCACAATAGATCTGTTCTTCTTTAAGCTGCCATGCCACTCTTTTGTTATTTCACTTAATATGTAACTGCGTTACGTAAATGGAAACAAAAGTGCTATGATTTTAATAAATTTTCACGGTGCTCCAATTTCCTCGTTCTGTTTTAGACAACCGCCTCCCGTAAGTTAAGTTATTCCACCTTGCCTTGGCTGCGATTGTGCAAATCAACTTTTGCTGACAACTTAATTCCCGTCCTTTCCTTTGAGCCTCCTTGTGGTGTCTCAGGGGATGTCCATCATTATTCAGGAGAACGCCTTGCGTGAATGATGGTATCGGCTGTTCCTCACAAGCTCCTTCATTCATAGCTTTAAGCACTTACCTGGGGTAAAACTGTAACAAAAATTATTTCCCTTTGTGTTAAAATGTACACTCAGACTGCCTGATTTAGGCTAACCTGGACATTAAAAAAAAAAGACAGTGACACCTGTTATAGACAGCAATAAAACTGTCCCAATGATCAATCTTGTTTCAGGTTGGGATAAAACTCCGTGAACCGAAACATAACAATCCATCAGATTGACAGGAATACTACATGCATTATCTCTTGAAGTAGTACGCTTCCCAGCTAAGATTCCTAATTTGTCTTTCCTTTGCTTCTTGACAGGCACCAGATCTGTCATTCATGCAATTCATGCAGTTACTCGCCATAAGCAAAGTGAAGCTCGGAGCATCTCCATCTTCAGAGCAGGCCTATATTTTTTTCTGCAGTCAAAGTCCTATTGTAGTCACAAAATGGTTTCTCTCAACAAGTGCGCACACACTTACACCAGGGATGGGGGAAGAGAGGGAATGAGTTCTTTGGAATAAGGGTGACGCTACCACTTACGAAATACTATAAAAATTGCTGCCTGGTATTCTACGCAGACAACTATCACTCTCTGGCTCTGTATGCAGTTAAAAAGCATTAAGGTGCCAGTATTGTGACACACCAAGACCTCACTGTAAAATAATCCTAAAACAGGTGTCAGGATTGCATATGAGAACTACAGGTTTGCATGCAAATGTCACACTTCATGATGGTGCAAACACGCATAAAACTGCCTTTAAAGACAATTTGGAAACTGGGACTGGTCCCAAACTATAGGTTCAAGGAAGGGGTTCAAACTCAACACATCTTGCACCAATCCTATGTAAATTATATTGACTATGACCATTCATTTACAGACTCAATTTTCATGTCTCGCCGTTGATCTTTAAAGGCCCTTAACGGCACAGGAGCAAGTTATGCAAACGGCGGGTTATGCTCAAATGTGATTAGCTGAGGCCTAAGACCTTTATCAGAGGTCTTCTTCTATGGCCTGCCTTAGTCAAGATCAGACTTGCAGGTGCCAGGAGCAGGGTCTTCTTGGTGGTGGTACTATCTCCCCACAAGCCTCTTTCTGCCAGGTTTTAACTAGTCTGTCAAAACCTTTTTATTCCGAGAGGCTTATTATTATGGATTTTATTATTAGATTTGGATTAGATTCTTATGATGTTATGCAACTGTTTAAACAGTTTAGATGTTGAGAAATTGCTTTGCTTTTTTATTTATTTTCTTGTTAGCTGCCTTGGAATCTATTTTATTTTATTTTTTAGAAAGGATAAAAATGTCCAAAATAGATAATTCAATCACCTATCAGTATTTATTAATACAGGGGTTTTTTGGGGGGGGGGCAAATCAGCTATTTTAAATCTTGACTCTCCGTGATTAGATAAAAACATCAAATTTAATTAGTAGCTCCTGTGACATAAGGCCAACAAATTTACTGGAGCACCAGCTGTTGTGGGTCAGAGCTCACTTGAGCAGAAACTTCAAAAGATAACACTGTAAGAAATTACAGGTGTGTTTTGGGGATGGGATCAGTGGTGGAGCAAGCCAATCGGGCGCCTGGGGTTGCGAGTGTTCCCTGCACCCAGGGCCAGGGCCAGCCGCCTGCGAGGTGGGGCAAGCTGGGGCAGGACGCTCCACATGGCCTCTGAGGAGTCTGTTTGCCTCCTCCCACTCAGCCGCCCTACAGCTGAGGGGGAGCAGCAGGTGGACTATGTGAGGCAGTACAGAGCCTGCGGGTGCCCAAGCCACCGCATCACTTCCAGGAGAGATGTGTGGCTCGGGCGTGCTGCAGGCCCCGCAGTGAGTGCCACCTGGCATTTTGTCACCCCCCTCAGTGGTGACACCCAGGGCAGCCCACACACCCCTTCCTCCACCCCTGGCTGGGATGTACTGTAGCTCAGTGGCAAAGCACACTACAGTGTGGTGTAGTGGTTAAGAGCGGTGGACTCGTAATCTGGGGAACCGGGTTCGCGTCTCCGCTCCTCCACATGCAGCTGCTGGGTGACCTTGGGCCAGTCACACTTCTCTGAAGTCTCTCAGCCCCACTCACCTCACAGAGTGTTTGTTGTGGGGGAGGAAGGGAAAGGAGAATGTTAGCCACTTTGAGACTCCTGAAGGGGAGTGATAAAGCGGGATGTAAAATCCAAACTCTTCTTCTTCTCTTCTTCTTTGCATTCAGAAGGTCCCAGGTTCAATCCCTTACATCTCCAAATAGGACTGGGAGCATCCCCTGCCCAGAGATGGCCCAGAACAGTTTCCCTATGGCCTATGCTGACTCTTTCAAGGTGCCACCCAATACATAGCTCTTGGTTCAGAATTCACTGGAGATGCCATGTTACCTAGTGAAGACCCATCAAGAGCTATGCACAGGTCATGTGCAACTTTTGTGAGATGTCACTTCAGTCAACCCAATACTTCCATTCCATACCAGGAGACACAGTTGACCCCTTCTCATGCTTTCTGAAAACGTTTCTGTTTCAGACTGCTTTTAATTAAAAAGGAAGGTCAGGGTTTTATTATGCTGTTGGACTCTGTTTAGACTTTATGCTAAAATGGATACTTAAATTGAAACTTATATATTGCTCTTTTAGTGCTTTCTGTTTATTATTGCCCTTGCTGCTTATTTTGTAATTTTGGTGTTGGTAAGAGTTTAATTGGGGTTTTTTAACCCCTTTTCCTATGCCACCATGCCTCATAAATCCAAAAATAAAACCATGAAGCAAGCTACAATATACACATACATGCCAAACACACCAGTTAAATTTCTACCACATTGCAGAAGCACACCTTTCCCAAGCAAAAGCAGCAAAGCAGAGAAATTTGCAAGCAATTCTGCTGTTGCTTGCAAACGCCCAGCACTTAGCAAGATTGTTCCTCCATTGCATCAGCTGCTGTGAAAAGAGCGCGATCCTGCTTAGCGCTGGGTTACAAAAGCTGCCCCCCTTCACCTTTGAAGTGCTTCAGGCAGCCCCCATGTTGAAACACGAGACTTTGCCCCCAGCCCACTGCTATCGACCACCCATTCACAGGAGCTGTACACAAGCTGCTTAAAACAGTGCTTTTGAGCAGGATTTAATCAATTGATGAGCAGAGATTAAATCCTGCTGTCTTGGCTGTGTGATCCTGTTCCTTCCTGGGAACTGGGCAGCCAAGGGAGGACTTAAACCAGAGGTCGGCAACCTAAGGCCCATGGGCCACAAGCGGCCCACAAGGGTCATTTAACCGGCCCACAAGCCACTCCCGAAACTAGTCGCCCGCTCAGCGAGTCCGCGCACGCTGCGCTAAACCGACGCAGTGTGGTGCGGGGACTCACTTCTGCGGTGATGGAAATCACATCTGCCTAGACGCAGATGCCGAAAATCACGTCTGCGTCTGCGCAGACACAATCCAGCCCACGGAGCGATCTCCACGGCAGTGAACCAGCCCGGGTGAGGTAAACCTTGCCGACCCCGATTTAAACCCTCTCCTCCCACCCATCAGCTGACATCACCAGTGATGTCAGTAGCAGGTGGGTGTGGTTTGGAGAAAACAGCATGGCAGGCCAATTTGGAGCCCCTAGTGGGCAAGGTTGGTACACCAACCAGATGTTCCCCACCCCTGTAGTATGGTAACCTTAGCTAACCTTCCCTTCTGCTGAGAACAACTATCCTAATGTGACAAAAGAGAAGAGTGGAAATTGTAACACAAATCACCCAGCTCCTCCCTCCGTGACCACTTAATACCTTCAGAGCAGGGAGGCGCTGCAGGATCCGTTCCTTTGCACTTCAGCAAATCCTTATGGTATGCAACATCAGGATGTTCCAAGTGCAGCAACATTTATTTACTGTAAAGGTGGAGCCCTTCTAAATATATCTGCCTTTTGCTTTGATATATTCTTCGCTTATAGGCTCTTTCCTATACAATGCGGAATTGATTTACATCCATCTCACTTCCATTTAAATGCACTCTCAACAAGAAAAAGAAGTGCATAAGATGGAAAGTTATTTTTAAAATGTTCAATGCAACTTGGAGCAATAGCAATATACTCACACAATTGGCCTGCTCGGGTGGAAGGAGCATTTTTCCTTTAGCTTACCGTGGTTTCCAGTTTGCACATATGATGTACCCTCCAACATTTATCTGGTAAAAATAGGGAACGTCCCATTCCATAATGATAATTTTACTATTTATACCCCACACATTTTACTGGGTTGCCCCAGTCACTCTGGACAGCTTCCAACATAGATAAAAACATAATAAAACATTAAATTTTATTTAAAACTTCCCCTACAGGATTGCCTTCAGATGGCTGAGGGTTTAGATAACTCCATACCCCCCAACATTTCTCCAATGAAAATAGGGACATCCTAAGGAAAAGTGGGATATTCTGGGTTCAAATCAGAAACTGGGACAGTTCTAGGGACATCCCTAGAAAATAGGCGCACTTGGAGGGTCTGATGTTATATAAACCAGACATTCTGGGCACCAGATAGATGGGCAGCAGGATTAGACCCCAAAGTGTGTGGCTTTAAAAGTGGGTGCATTTTGTCACTGAATTGCAATGGCTCTCCTGATTAATTCAAGCTTGTGCATATCATATAAGTGGATTTGAGCATCCACATGTTTCTGCATTGGTTGCAAATATTTGCATGTACTTTGTATGAAATGAAGAGATAAGCATTAGCCACAATCCATCTCTAGGAACCGTAACCTTGCAAACTCAGACAAAAGAAAAAACCCAAAAACAAAAACCCAGAATAATTACATCTCTCAGACATTTTTGCTCACCGTAACTGAATGACTAGAAGATAATCTGGGTTAACAGATTGTGAAAACCTGTTTGAAGTTAATGGTCAATAGCGCATATAAGCAGTATTTTCTCTCTGCTAGAAGTACCGTATATGATCAGGGCCTTCAAAAGTTAAAAGGACCCATACATCATAGGTGCCCAAGGATAGAGACTCATTGGGGAAGGATAAAAGTAAGGCTAACATTATATGGCTTTAATTTGCATGTGCAATTCTGAGCAATAACAATTCTCACACGGTTCATAAGAGGCACATTTTAGAAGCAATGCGTATGATGGGTAAACTGGACCTGAGCTCTGGTTGATTGATCACTGGCTTATTATTACAAAGCTCTTATTGTAAATGTGTGTCCTGCTAGACCATCCATTTGTTTTGCATCTACTTGTGTAAGTGCTTTAGTGAATTAGTGAGACTCACCACACACCAAAAAAATTTTAAGGGCCTCTACTGTAGCAGCGGGACGCGGGTGGTGCTGTGGGTAAAACCTCAGCACCTAGGACTTGCCGATCGTCAGGTTCAATCGTCAGGTTCGAATCCCCGCGGTGGGGTGCGCTCCCGTTGCTCGGTCCCAGCGCCTGCCAACCTAGCAGTTCGAAAGCACCCCCGGGTGCAAGTAGATAAATAGGGACCGCTTACCAGCGGGAAGGTAAACGGCGTTCCGTGTGCTGCGCTGGCCACGTGACCCGGAAGTGTCTCCGGACAGCGCTGGCCCCCGGCCTCTTAAGCGAGATGGGCGCGCACCCCTAGAGTCGGACACGACTGGCCCGTACGGGCAGGGGTACCTTTACCTTTACTGTAGCAGCAGGTTACCCTTGTTATAGTAAACATGGATATAAATTCCCACCTATATGACAACACACCAAGGTATTTTGTTAGCAGAGCTGCTCTGGTATCAGGCATGGAATGTTCATAATGAGGCAAATGAAAGGTCATTTTGGCAGGGACTAACATGTCGTGGATTGAAGCGAATGGCAATTAAGAGAACCTGATGATCGCAAAGCTCGGTTGGAAGAGGTCCCTGCACCTAAGGAGGCCAAGTGTGGCAGTAGATTTGAAGAAAGTGAGCAATGGGACTAAAAAAGGATGTAAGAGAAGAATAGACAGCACAGACAAGGTTAGGGTCAACATCAAGCTCTAAAAAGTTATTGTGTGTCGGAGCCAGCCGTTACAAATGGCGCAGTTTAGCATAAAATAAAGACACAGAGAGCCAGCAATATTTTCAGGATGGTATGAGCAGCTCCTTTCGAACTTCTCTCTCCTCCCATAGCTTTTTTATTATCCTTTTTCTCTCTCCAGCCGCATGGCCGTTTGCCAATGTCTCACATTACCTACATCCGGTCATGGCTTTAACCCACCCACAAACCATATAAGGTCATCACTGCCCAGAGGAAACACAACTCCATTTAAGGGCAATACATTCCATTACATTGTAAAGCTCAGAGTGCTGGTCAGCCGAGGTCAGGGGGCACCCTGCAATATTACAAGCCTTTGCCGTGGCTTTATGACTCCCACAATTGTGGTTTTTTAAAAAGAAATATGAATAAATCAGTAGCCTTTTTTCACATGACACCTCTAAGCAGAGGTACACCTCCTATAGGAAAAAAAATCATCAGTTTGTAACTCTAAACACAGCAGGAAATGTCACCCATGCTGAGATGCACAGCTGCAGGAGAAACTTGATCCTTGGTCCACCAGGATCTACTTAGCAGCTACACAGACTTTCAGGGAGGGGGGCAGGAAAGCATCTTAATCAAGGGAACATGGCGAAAATGGATGATCTTGCTTATACGTGTACCACCTGCAGAATCCTGCTGCCTGTTTGAAAGAGAGCCAAGTCCAGGAGTTCCTTATACTGGAGAGTCAGAATGCTCACATTCGTTTCAGCCAGGAGGAACGTGAAGAACCACTGTAGTTTTTCATCTGCTTATGGCTGGTCTTGTAACCAAGCAAGCCAGAAGGTGAAGACTGGCGCCGTTGCTTTGTATCGAAGAGAAGACCGTTGTGGTTGCCTTAGCAACCGCTACTAAGAGGAAGAGGCTTCAAGCTGACAGTGTTCACTTGTTCATGCACCAGCCAGGTAAACACGAGAATACAATGTGGATAGGTGAACAAATTTGGTTGGTGGTTAGAAGATCCATACAGAAGTACTGACTGGCTACCAGTGGTGCTAAGTTCAGCTATGGAGCTTGCTGCCACAATAGGCAGTGATGGCCACCAACCTAGATGGCTTTAAAAGAGGGCAAGGCAAATTCATGGAGAGTGCTATCGGTACCTACTAAGCCATGCTGTCTATGCTCTGCTTCCACAGTCTTGAGTCATTAATGCCTTGGAATACCTACCAGTTGCTGGAAGCCACAGGAGGGGACAATGCTCTGCTCCTGGCTGAGGGTTTGCCACAGGCATCTGGTTGGCCACTGTGAGGACATGATGCTGGACTAGATGGACCACGGACCTGATCCAGCAGGACTCATCTTATGCACTTAGAAAAAGAGACAACCAATGGGCAGGGTGCCCCAAGAAGCGTAAGTGCTTGGTTGGTCAGAAGTCTTGGCCAAGAAAAGGCACAGTCTGCTCTGTTAAGGCAACTGGGAGACAGCCACAGTTGGAGATCTCTGAGAGGACTGTGCTGTGGACAGGACATGAAGATGGGAGCCAGTGGCTGAGAACAAGCAACCATGTCGTGAAGGGTTGGCAAGGTTTTAAGAAAGCAGCTGTTCTCTGTAGCAGGTTTCAGTGAGAGGTCTGACAGGAGAGAAAACCTTAGCAGGTAAAGGTAAAAGGTAAAGGACCCTGGATAGTTAAGTCCAGTCAAATTCGACTATGGGGTGCAGCTTTCATAGAATCATAGAGTTGGAAGAGACCACAAGGGCCATCGAGTCCAACCCCCTGCCAAGCAGGAAACACCATCAGAGCACTCCTGACATATGGTTGTCAAGCCTCTGCTTAAAGACCTCCAAAGAAGGAGACTCCACCACACTCCTTGGCAGCAAATTCCACTGTCGAACAGCTCTTACTGTCAGGAAGTTCTTCCTAATGTTTAGGTGGAATCTTCTTTCTTGTAGTTTGGATCCATTGCTCCGTGTCCGCTTCTCTGGAGCAGCAGAAAACAACCTTTCTCCCTCCTCTATGTGACATCCTTTTATATATTTGAACATGGCTATCATATCACCCCTTAACCTCCTCTTCTCCAGGCTAAACATGCCCAGCTCCCTTAGCCGTTCCTCATAAGGCCTCGTTTCCAGGCCTTTGACCATTTTGGTTGCCCTCCTCTGGACACGTTCCAGTTTGTCAGTGTCCTTCTTGAACTGTGGTGCCCAGAACTGGACACAGAACTCGGCTTTCAGGCCGAGGAAGTCAGTGTTTGTCCAGCTTTCCAGGTCATGTGGCTAGCATGACTAAACTGCTTCTGGCGCAACGGGAGCACATGGAAATGCCATTTACCTTCCCACCACAGCGGTACCTATGTATCTACTCATGCTGGTATGCTTTCAAACTGCTAGGTTGGCAGGAGCTGGGACAGAGCAATGGGAACTCACCCCGTCACGCGGATTCGAACTCCTGACCTTACGATCAGCAAGCCCAAGAGGCTTAGCAGGCACTCTTTAATACAGTTCAACTACCCTAGAAGGAGCAGAGGCTCTTGAGGCAGAGGAAGACGAACATAAAGCATCTGTCCCTACTTGTGACTGACCAGGGATGCAGGAGAGGTGAATTTGGTATGGGTAAAAAAAAAAAAAAGGATGGGGGGCTAAAAGCTTTAATAAGTTGCGTCAGACTCTTTTCATTATCAAGAACTGTTACTATGTTTGTATAACCTTGAGTAACTAAGCACTGCATACCCAAGCAATCTTACACTAATATCAAAATAGGAATATGACATCCCCTTATGCGAATATATTGTTTTGTTACTTTTATCTGTGTCTTTTGTGGGGGTATCGATCCTACACCTGTCATTTGGGGGGCAACAGTTAAAGGCTTCACATACCACACTGTAGGAACTATGACAGGGAATTCCACACGTCCAGAAAGGGAGCAGCTGGAATGTTAGGTCACTTGGGGTGGCAAGCGGCGGGATGAGAACCACCTTATGCCTCAAGGATGCACAGTCCCAGGTTCAGCTGTTGGTGTCCCCAGGTAGGGGCTTAGGAAAGAGTCTAGCCTGAAACCCTGGAGAGCCACTGCTAGTCACGTGTTCACAATACTGAGCTAGAGGGACCAATTGGTCTAGCTGAGCATGAAGCAGCTTGTAATGTAGTCTAGTATATGCACTTTGAATTTGGTTCCTCTACCTTTCAACTCTCTGCACATCTCTCCCTGACCAAACTGAAGGAAAAGCAAAGCTTCTGGAAATGTTTTTTTCAAAAACAAGTGTTTAAAAATGCAATTACACTTTGCTGCACCCTTTAGGAAAGATTTCAATGAAGCCACAGTGCCCTCTTGTGGGTACAAATCACATCTGTAGGACACAAAAGCAGAACAAACCAGAAGTTAGCTTTTGGGATGATTCGTACATACTCCTTCCTCTATATGGACACTCAGTTTACATAAGTCGGTGTCTTGCAGATGAGCTGTCTTCATTGCCGTTATTGTGTCTGAGCTTTCATACTGCCACCGTCTATGATATCTGATCAAAGTCTCATACTTGTATGCACATCCTTACTAGGTATAATGTTTCACATTTCCAAAACTATCGCTCAAGCTTTGGGTCCTCAAAATATGCCATCTCTGGCTTATTTTCCTACCTTTTAAATTACAAAGGTACTCCTTCATATGCAATTCATGAAGGACTGGCAATACCCTGTTGATTGTAAGATAGGAGAACTTGATATTCTTAATACACTGATTCCAAGCCTGTTTTAATTCCTCCTTTTTCCACCAATCTTATTTTTTAAATCTAGTAATGGAGAGTTTTGACACTATGTGTAGAAGACAGATGGTGTATCTTACCTTTATATATTTTGCCATTGTGCATGGGTTTTGCAATACCCCGACGATAATTATTGTCAAAACAAAGAGGCAAGGTTTATATCTAAATATATAAGCCAGTGGCACACTGGAGTGTCTTGAATGATGGTCAGGAGTGCTGTAGGCAGCACTGGCCTCTGTCCCTCTTTCTTTCCTTCCCTCCCTCCTCTGATGCCCTCTCACATCTCTGCCTCCCAAAGGCTTGCACAGTTGTTTGTTGCAGCAGCTCTGGCTACAAGCTCCCCAGGCGAATGGTGCCTCTGGGGCTGGTCAGAGGGTGCTGGTTGCCAGGAGCTGAGGCAGCTCAGGCAGGAATCCCAATGAGAGGCGAGAGGAGAGGAGAGGAGAGGAGAGGAGAGGAGAGGAGAGGAGAGAACACTCCAGAGGGAGGGTGTTTGAAAAAGGGTGAGACACTGCCAGTTTGGCAGACATAGGGTGACATAACTAGGCTTGGGTACCGCAGAAAGAATGTAGTTGGTCATGGGAGCCGGGGACTCAAAAAGGTTGAAAACCTCTGATATAAGCAGTAGGGCTGGATATTCAACAGGAGCGTGCATAAGATTCAGATGAACTCCAAAATCAAGAAACAAAGCAAATACATTACGGATGGATTCAGGGCTTGTTCAAGCCAAAGAATATATCCAAAGTGCCCCAAATGTAACACTACTGGAGCACTTTCACAATTCAGACGTTTTTAACAAACTGCAAAAACTGAAACACCTCAAGCTTGCCAGATAAGGAAGTGGGGAGATGGAAAGCTCTTTTGTGACTGACTGGCCTAGTTTCTAATCAGAAGGAATTATTTTACCAGGGCTTTCCAATCTCAGTGCTTTGGGAAGGGGATACTGAAATTATGTATCCTATTCTTATCTGTTCTGTGCTGTTTGCTACTTTAGTTAATCGTGCTTGCTTGGAAGATGTTGAATACTGAAATCCTTCTGCCTCTGTCCTAGATGCCCCCACATCCGCCCCCTCATCAAATCATATTTGGACTTAGTTTCTATGACTCTTGATACCAACTGAGCAGAGCACAAGCCTAAAGCTTCCCCCCCACACACACTCCCAATTCACCAACTCTCCTATCCTTCATCCTTTCTGAAAGTTTGCAGCTTGCTTTCCTTGAGGCACCTCTACAAAATAATCAATTTTCATAATAAAATCATTGCCCACAAAACCATAGGAAAGGGAAGCAAATCCTTTTAGGTCTCTCCCCCCCCCCCATCAATTTTTTAAAGCGCCTAGTACAGAAAGCCCTGGACCCATTTGCCTAATTTGGCAGGTTTCGTACCTAAGAGTACTTCTATGGCATATGCTCATAAAATAAGGGTAGATTCAAGCAAATCCTTTTTAGTTACCTGAAACTGTAAATGCTTGCAGGGGGAAAACAGTTGCACCTACCCTTTTAAACTTGGCAGGATTCTCTCTCTCTCTCTCTCTCTCTCTCTCTCTCTCACACACACACACACACACACACACACACACGAAGGCGCTACTGTTCCTAGATTGCAGCAACAATAGATTTGGGTTTAGGTCTTCAAGTCACCTGGTGACAGCATTGAGCATAAAGCTCAATGAGACAAATATAAGACAGGTTTCTGCAGTTGCATCATGACAATGTGTCCAAATGAGGACATCCAACATTTAAAGCCTGTAAAAGGTAAAAACTGCCCAGTCTTACACATTACGCAGAAAATGAAACACCCTCTTCCACAGGGTCCTCCAGTCACATCATTTTCTGTTAAAACTTCAGAAAAGACAGGCACCACAGAATTAAGAAATAGTATTTAATACAAATTATAATGTAAAATTTGCGTTACATTTTCCAGAACATCTGATCCTTTATAAACAGTAACGCCCTCACCCTATTAAATACATTTTGTAACAATGCCGTATTAGGCTAGGGAAAAAAAACACATATTGCACATTATGGTGAGAAATTCAGTTTGGTTTTATGAATTGGCAAGTTATCCAAGCAACGCTTAAGACTTGGTCTTAACACTAATATTGCAACAGAAGAAACTGGACACATTTTGTAACAATAAAAGGTATTTTATAGGACAGTGTTGGTAATCTTCAAATATTGAAAGACTGCTAATTTCAATATTTCACTTGGAAATTTGATCTAGTCCCTTCATATCCCCATAGATAGTGCAATCTATGTCAATATCAGGTATCTGTTTGAGTGTTCACAGCACATATTAGCATCTATGAGTGGCCTCGGACACCAGTCACTAAGGACAGATACAACCTTCTCAATATGAGATTTTATCCATACCAAAACCAATCAAAATGCTGGCTGAATCACATGGGAAAGAACTATACTATTTTGACTAGAAGTACAAGTGTTTTGCAAGTGCCCTTAAGCCTTTAGAACTCTAGTAACCTGGTTGTTGTTGTTTTTTTAAAAAGCAAACATCTGAAACACATTACTTGGGAAAATAAGCCAAACTGTAAGTCACCATTTGGACACCCAACATTTTAGTAGGCACAAACTTTCCTAAGTTGAGTTACAAAACGTGCAATTTGCATCAAAGAAGCTACACATAGTCATAAGCGCCAATGTGGACATGCCGAAAAAGTTACACACCCAGTCGACCCCATTATGCAGACACACACATACCTTGTGACGGCATGCTTTGTTGACAACATGATTATAGCAGTGATAAACTGACTTGTTTCAGTTTGCATTTCTCATCACATCAACAGCTTATGGCCAGGATCTTTTTTCAAACAACAACAAAAACTTTGGAAATACTCAGTTTCAAAAGCAGTTCATGACTGGGGTGGGGCCCAACTGGGCCCAATAGCAAAATTCACTGTGCTAGTAAAGTACTTTGCATAAACTGCTCTATGGATTCCAGCCAATGTTGAAGTTTTCAGCTTTTTTGCTTCACACATTCCCTCCTAAAGCACATGTTCTAATTGTGAACGGTTAACATGCTCTCCTTTGCAGGATTAGTAGATGATGCCAGCCCTGTATAACTGGTCAAAAAGCCCAATCATTTTTTTTCACCTGCGCTCTCCTCGTAACTCAGGAAGTGTTGCTTGACCTGAAAAGTCAGCTACTAGGTCAAACATCATAGGCATAATTTTGGAGGAAAAAAAAGAAGGCCATTAAGATCTGGTCTCACCTATAGAGGTATCATGGTTTTTATAGGATTTTAATCTTCCAGAGGATTCTGAACTGTTCGCTCGCTCTTACAAATAGCAACACTGAGAAAATAGGAAGAAAGGCTGTACAGTGAAACACAAAATCTTCTAGGCAAACATAAGCCTACTTTGAGATCCCTGAGATTCATTTGTTTGCCAAAGAGATTAAGCAAGCCCTAATTATTTATTTGATAAATATTATGTAGTATTTGAAATGTGTTTTGTGAAAGCAAACATATATTATGAACTGGATTAGGTTAGGTAGTGAAACTGGTATGTACACATTGCATGGTAAAATTTGATCCAAGATGAATCAAATTTTCGAAGAGGAAAATGCTGATCAATAATCATATTTCAATCTACTGTAAGAATCCTCAAATGGGTTTAAATTATATTCCTGAAGGCAGGCAGATACTCTCTTCTACCTTCCCAGCCTTACTGGGGTGTGGAAGAAAGGCTTTGTTCATCAGAAACAAAGGAAGGCCTCATCTTATATCCATTTTGGTTGCCCCAAGGTGCTTCAAAAACGGTGAATATTCTTGTCACAGGAATTAAAATGGGAATCAAAGGCCAGAACATCTTTGAGGATCAGCTTCTCTCTCTACTTCTGCTATATGTATATGTAAAATACATGCCCCAAGAAGGGGCAATAATCACCTGTAAATACTCAATTCACAGTAAACGTGAAAGGAGAGTGTACAACCCTCAAACACTACTTGGGATGTTAATCTTTTATATTGTAAAAGTACAATAGTTATAAATGATTTTTAAAAGGTTATTTCTTTCTGGAAAATGAACAGCTCAAGCCCTTGCCTCTGTTCTGAAAACAGCTAAGAAGGCACTAGCTCAAAAAGCTCACATATTACAACTACAAGGAATGTAAATACTTAGATTCAGGAAGATCTCCCAGAGAGGCACAAAGCAGGAGATGAATATAAACAGAATAATGTTGTGAATGTTGGTAAATCAGCAATACAAAGTATCAGATGAGTGGCTCTGTGCATTTACACCTACTAGAAGGCACCTTTTAAAAATTACGGGTTTCAGAAACTAGTAAACTCCATACACCCTTGAATGTGCAATTCTAATTAAGAACACTGTTTTCAACATCAGCCTAGATGTTAGTCCTAAACACAGTGATGCAATATCTTGGCTGATATTGCAACAAACTGCATTTCAATTAGGACATTTCCAGCAAGACACCGAGTAAAACCAGAACCTATGGATTTTTTCATACCTGAGCAATAATTAATATTGTTTATTGCTAGTTAAATAATCTAATAATTAAGCTTGGTGAGAGAAATTGCACATTCCCTTTTTTCCACACACACCCACCCTTTTTTTTATAAGAAATATATATAGGTTCTCTCCAACATTCTTATTTAGAATGCAATTAAGAGATGTGGCAAAACAGCATTTCTGATACAAGATACTTGCAATCCTTTTAAAAGGTCACCTTAGTCTATCACGTATTTTTCAGAAATACAAGCTTCAAAGTTTCACATGCGATAACGTAGCTCACATTAGGCAAAATATGCCACATCCAACTGTATTTCAGTGATAACAACTGGAGTCTAGCACGGGATCCTCTTTCCATCTTTAAACTGAATCCTTCATTACAATGAGTGGCTATTTAAATGCCTGCACCTGCTATAAGCTATGTGGCTCAAGAGACTCATCTTCAGAACAAGATGCTGCCTTGCGCCTTAAGGATTACTCCATGTGAAGAGATGTTCAGATCAAGCCCACCATCTGATCAATCTGTCTCATGTAAATACTCTTCAAAGGCAGCAAGTATCTCCTCTCATCTGGTACTCTGTTGCACTGCAAAACAGAAGGAGACGTTTTTTAATAGTAGGAAGTTCACAGTAGCTTGCTTTTCAGGACTGAATCTTGTACCATTTGGATGGGAGGGCTTGATTCACACCACGCATTGCTTGGCAACATGACAAGATCAGATACTGCTCCTAACCGAAGTAAGGGAATGGGCATACTTAAATGATGAGTGTTACTTGACACATTCATATCTTAAAAGTGTGAGAAATAGTCCTCGGTACTGAAAAGTTTCCTTCAAAGCTATCCAAAACGCTGGTGAGTTTACAGGAACAAGTAGAATATCTCTGTTAAACTGCTACATTCCAGGAACATCAACTCACCCATTGTGATTCTTGGTCATGCACACAAAGCTCTCTTTTACCACTAGAAGGAACTGATGAGTGAACTTGGCTTTACTGCTTTAAACAAAGAATCTTCTTGACTACCTGAACCAAAATGTGCTCCCCGCCCCAGAGTTTAACTGGATGGCAAAGACAATTACTGTTTTCCAGGCACGTCCAACAGGTGGATCATGATCTACCGGTAGATCACTGGACGTCTGTGGTATATCATTATTAGAAGATCACTGGCTCCCTCTAAAAAAAGCTCAACATGAACCCCAAAAAAGGGGGTAGATCACTGCCAATTTTTAACTCTGAGTAGATCGCAGTCTCTTGGGAGTTGGCCACCCCTGTGTATTCGTGTGAACCAAATGAATACAGCCTTTAGTATCTACATCGTTTCTGAAAAAATCGGAGCTAGGTCTCATGTGGTTCTAGCCACAACCATTCAAGAAGGGTGCAGAATTGTGCATTAAAGAAATTCAGGAAAGGACTGTGAATTATAGTGTCTAAAAGAAATTTTATGTTGTTGAGATCTCATTTCTTTCTGAATATTTGGGCTTTTAATCTGCTACTGCATCTTGACCCTCGTCTAGAAAGACAAGTAACACTTATATGTATGAAACAATATGTCTTGGAGAATACTTGGACAAAGGTTGTCTGAACACTCAAGTTTGCTCCCCAAAACCTTCAGATTTAGGTCCCTGCAGGCTGGAACCTAAAATTCTAAAATGGGTTTCTGATCCTCTACACCCCCTCAAAAGCTAATTATAAGATCATTCCTATTCAGCAAAACAGAAACTATTTACAGGAAAAATACATATTGCAATTGCCATCATAATATATCTGAGCAGCATCCATGGATATATTTGCTGAAAAAGCAGGCACTCCCCCCCCCCTCCCGCCCCAGGACACTCTATATTTACTAGTTACAAAATGCTTAGTTAACTGGGCAGAATTGCTTGCATTCCCTATTTCTGTACACAACTACTATACCCAAACTGGAAGTGGTTTATATTTACATTAGAAGTAGAGTTGATTGCTCTAAGTTCATTTGGCTTTAGCTTTTCAGTCTTCTTCTGTTCTTCAGGGAAAGTATCTTGCCACAGTGAAACACGAAGACGCTTATCCAGCGATACTATATGCCCCTCTGTAGTAAACATATATCTATTGCCCGATTTGTGCACTGGGTTTTCTTCATCAAAAAGCTGAAACAAGAATTTTTAATGTATCCTTAATGTTTCACATTTAGCATAATATATAACAGCAATGCAGTACCACCACGTCTGCAAAACTGACACAGATCAGGAAGCAGGTTACTTTGCAGCTAGGTGCCATAAAATGTATTTTGAATATGCAATGACCAGTATAACATATTTATTACAGACTCTGCCTGCCAATGTGTTAGATACACAGATTATATTATAAAACATTTTGTGTGTGTGTGTGTATGTGTGTGTGTGTGTGTATGTATACACAAACCCTATGAATCATTATAAGCAGGCCCACCACTCGTTGCTAGTTACAGTTCTAGTGAACAAGCCTATTTTAAAACAGAAAGCACCAAGAATACCTACCAAATACAAATATTTACATGTTTCACTGAGAAAAAAGCTTTCCATCCGATCTTCTTTGGACTTCTCTATAACATGGTGCAGAGTAGCATAGCCACATCTGAAATAAATTTTAAAAACCTCAATTATCACTAGCAAGCCACAAATGTTTTAAGAAATTAAGCCCACAGAGGGATAGCTTGGTCAATAGAACAAGAGACTCTTAATCTCAGGGTCATGGAGTCAAGCCCCACATTGGGTGAAAGATTCCTACATTGCAGGGGGTTAGACTAGATGATCCTCGTGGTCCCTTCCAACTCTACAATTCTATGATTCTAACTGTATTCCAAAAGTTACTGCTATTCTTAGCTTTCTTCTAGTTACTGCTGATGGAGCAACTCTGCTCTGTCAAGCAGCACACCCCCAAGAGCAACAAGCAGGTCTTGTTCTAATATCTCACCAACACAGTGCCTCTTAGAGCCATTAGAACAAATATCCCACAACCATTAGCTTGTTCCTCTCCATAATTCAGGCTGGTAATAGTAGGAGATAGCAAGAGGGTGCTGAGAAGTGTTATGGTACAGTGACAACTAAAGAGCTTCATGCCTAAAGCCATGGGCATGCTGGGAAATATTTTCCTTGTTTGAACTCTCTTCCCTTCATCCATATGACTCCTTATGAAACTTCTCTCAGTCGTAAGAGGCAGGAGCAACCCAGTGAGTAAACCCTACTCTGTAAGACTGCTTTCTTTTCCTCTAAGACCTGCTTGTGGCCCAGAAATTCAGCAGCAGCATGTCAACTGAACACCTGAAAACAGCAGAGAGGCTTATAAACACCTTTGCTCCTCCCTATAACTCATGTATTTTTAATGCATTGTAAGCTGCCGCCTCAAGAAACTTGGTTAATAGGCAATATAGAAGTACTACACACAAAATAAAGTGAGATTTGCAAATCCAACATAGGGGCTAACACTTGAAGCACAGGTTTTTCAAACATCCCTTGTGAGCACTGGGATCCAAGCCATAGCGTTTCTGATGTTTAAAAGCAAAGAGGTTGCTCACATGCCCGTTAGATAAGAGATTTAAAATTAATTCAATGGAAGCAAGCATATTTGTATAAACTGCCACATGCAGCTCAGTTCAGAAGAAACTTCACAAGTAACTTAAAATAAAAGGTTTCATTCAAAATTTGTCTCTATATTTTCCAATAGCTAAGCACAAGGTGATATTAAAAGTTTAGTGTGAAAACTAACTTTGCTTTTGTGTGCTTCTCCAGACTCTGAAGAATATCCATGCCTACATGGAGATAAAAGGGATTCTTTGTTGCCTAAATAAAAGGAAGGAAATAAGTGTGAAGAAATTCTGCAATGCCATGTAAATAAAGGCTTAAACACTAGTAAAGCTAAGTAGTTCAGCCACTAGAAAGTAAACAAACCAGATGCAAAACCATAGTTTAATGCTAGTTTGTTCTCACCAATAAGAATTTAAACAAGTTTCCAGAGTTTGGATAGTAGATCACTATGCCAATTCAAATGTTAGCATTGTGGGAGGAGGGGAGCCCCACACCCTCTACGCAAGAAAAACTAAATTACCGTACTTAACCAGTTCTTTGGATCCTGATTGTCATATCCAAACGTGGAGCCCAAAATGTAATTTAAACCAATGATTCCCTTAAATCAGTGTTTCTCAAATAGAATAGATTGAATCAGTCTGAAAATATGTAACTGTATATTGGGACCACACCTCTTAAGCAGCAGCAACAAGGATACATTCATTAAGACAATTATATATAGTAAAAAACCTTTAATACCTGATAAAGAAGATATGTAGATTCTACTAACTCTGGCCTTAGGGGATAAAAGAGGACATCAGGTGCCTGTAACTGCCAGTTGTACCTCTCTGGAAGAGCTCCATATCGTTTCCATATGGCATAATAAAATGCATGGAGGCAAATAGCATCTTCTACATCACCTATTAAAACCTGAGAAGCAGCAAAATTGAAAAATTGCATAAATGTAGGACAACTCACTGGTAATAATATAGTAACATTACCAATTTCTTTCATGGTATCGTCAGTCTCCCTAGGCCAGGAAAAGCACCAGACAATAAACCAGTTATCAGGAACGCTACTCTAAAATTGTGTAGCAAACATTAGCTCAGCAAAAGAACTCTGACTTTTGAAACATATAAAAGCGCTATAGCTGTTTTTGGACCAGACACCACCAAGCAAATAATAAAAATAGACTGGGAAAGCCTATGTATTCGGCGCATGCTGTAATGTGCTGTAATGTGCAACTCCATGTAACATTCAATCAGCAGCAGTAGAAGCTGAATTGCTACATACCTTTTGCTGCAAAAGGAACATAACCAGTTTTACTGGAGGTGTCAGTGGTCAAGGAACCTTAGTATCTCCTCCACACACAAACCCTTTTGCGATTATCTTGTGTCTACCACTACAACCCAACATCCATTTCATCTTAAGTACTAAGCAGCCAGCTGGCAAATTAATCCCCTGGGTATAGCCACCGGCTGTCTCACTTCCCACCCGCATGATGATGCTAACATTGCACTTCTGGAATCTGTATGGTCATACATATGCATTTTAGCTCCAGTTGTTAGACTAGTACCCACACTTGCAAGTCAATTGCTCAGTGCAAGGCAAGATCAGAACTGAATATGGGGGGGTCTTTCCTACCAAATGCTAGTTTTATAGAAAGGACCAACAAAATCTGTTTTAGGTTGGGAGGCTGAGCTCCTAATAGTACACATTTTGCAAAGCTTTCTATACTTTCTCCACCAAATTGAAAATACCTGAAGCCCAGGGAAAAAAGCTTGAAGAGAATCAATCCATGTGTTCATCAACTGCCCACTGAACATATTTACATTAACATAGAGTGGTGGGTCCCCTTCACCTTCATTACAGGCTTCTCTCCTAAAAGGAATAAAAAGCAATGTTTGATTCAAAACAATATGCTTTATCATTATATGTACAAGTGGTGAACACTGAAGACAAGATTCCATTTCGCTCCTGCTTCAGCATCTCAGAAAGCGGGTTGCTTCAGCTTGGACCACTTTGACCACAACCCACTTTGGCCTAGATCCAAAGTCTCATCAAAATTTGGCCTTTGTATGACCCCTCTAACTACAACATAGAAATCAACCAACAGCTATAACTTTTTAAAAACTTTTTGACAGAAATAGATAAAAATGTGTAGGCACAGTTGTTCCTTCTGAGAGATTGAAACCTGACAAACTTTAGACAAGTGCAGGATTTTTTGTGCAAGAAGATGGAGTTTTTTAGAGTCTGGGGAATAAATTTATTTTTGAAAAAAATCTTGCATGGGTCAATTTGTGTGCAAATAACTTTTAAAAGACCTTGTAAAATTTCTAAAGGACAGATGCCAGAGTTTGAGCCTTTTGGTGAATGAATAAAATGTTGTTTTCTGCTCTACAACACCGACAGATAAAGTGAGATACATTCCCCCAAGCCCCCACATCCAGTGAACACAAGCAAAACTACCGTATTTTTCGCTCTATAACACGCACCAGACCATAACACGCACGTAGTTTTTAGAGGAGGGAAACAAGAAAAAAATATTCTAAACGAAACAGTGGTTGTATGATTTTTGTGGTTCATGCTGTGGCCACAGACATGTGATCTGACGGTGAGTTTGGGGTAGCCCAATGCAAAAATCCTGAGGATCCATGTGGATCCATGCTAAAGTCGCCCTAAAGTCGCAGGGGCGCTGGAAGTCGCAGGGGCGCTGGGGGAGTGAACGGGAAGCAAGAGAAGGAGAACAATCACACACACACACAGAGAGAGAGAGAGAGAGAGAGAGAGTATCAATCCTAAAGTCGCAGGAGAGTGCAGGGGCGCTGGGAGTGGGAAGCAAGAGAAGGAGAACGATCCCCCACACAGAGTATCAATCCTAAACTCGCAGGAGAGCGCAGGGGCGCTGGGAGTGGGAAGCAAGAGAAGGAGAACGATGCCACACACACACACACACACACACACACACACACAGAGTATCAATCCTAAAGTCGCAGGAGAGCGCAGGGGCGCTGGGAGTGGGAAGCAAGAGAAGGAGAACGATCACACACACACACACACACACACACACACACAGTATCAATCCTAAAGTCGCAGGAGAGCGCAGGGGCGCTGGGAGAGTGAACAGGAAGCAGGAGGAGGAGAACGATAGCTCAAGCACACACACACACACAGCCCCTACAGTGGCTAATCCAAAATCGGACAGCAAAAAACTGCAGGCAGGGACAGAGAGCACGGGGTTGTTTTAAAGCAGCCACCCCCGCTCTGCTTCTCTCCCTCCTCCCCGGCTAGGCTGGCTGAAAAGCTTTGCTGCTACTTAGCGAGCTCAGTGGGGAGGAGAGAGGGACATAGAGCACGGGGTTGTTTTAAAGCAGCCAACCCCGCTCTGCTTCTCTCCCTCCTCCCAGGCACAGCTCGCTGACAGGAGCCGCTTACACCCGCTTTGCTGTTTCAAAGCGAGCCACGGACTGCTCACAACTGCAGCAGATTCCCCTGCCATCCGTAGGCATTCGCTCCATAACACGCACAGACATTTCCCCTTACTTTCTAGGAGGAAAAAACTGCGTGTTATGGAGCGAAAATTACGGTAAGTTCTCTGTAAAGTTATTCTCTGGCTGGAAGTTAGAGGCCTCATCTCCCTCTACCAACCTTATATGGAGAGTTTATAACAATCATACAGTATAGTTCACCATTATAACCCAACTTGCAGGATGGAGGGCTATGCTGAGAAAGTGTATGTACAGCATACCTACAACAGTGCACGTCAGTTTAAAGGCTTGTAAAACCTTTCAAATATGCTACAGCTCTGACTCCTCTGATGTCACCCAATCTAGGAGAGTATAGCAAAAACTAAGCAGGTGGTAGCTTAGTATAAAGCTATCACTGTGTATTAAGCATGATTATAATAATGTGGTGTGGATTGAATAGAATTATTTTTTAATTGGATCATTTTTTGGATTTTTTCCGCCCAACACAAAATAGGCAGATTTGTATTGGAAAGTTTTCCAGTGTACATCAGAAAATTTTCCAGTGCTTTAGAGAGTAATCTAATTAACATGTTTATTTTACTTACATTGAGGAAACAAAGCTGAACACATTTGAAACTGCAAAACTTGACTTATACTGTATTTGTAACTAGCGTACATTCCTGTGAAATGGAAAATATAAGCACTGGGAAACCTTCCACACCACATCCCTGTTACTATAATGCTAGAGTAGATGGCACTATATGGAGGACAGATCCTGTCCAGAGTTCTTACAATCAATGATTTGACACAGGGAAACCAAGGAAGGGGAACTAAGAGGAAAGAGGAGTAAAGAGGGGGAAATCATTTCAATTTTGTATACTTAAGGTTGCAACCCAAACTGTCTGCCTGTGAGTGTAACTGACTTTCACTTACGCAACAATATTTTACCTTCCACTCCTCCTCCCTGGAGGTTGGGGGGCTCTTTGGAACAGATCTGAGTGGGGTATGGGGTATGGGGAGAGGAAGGTGAAGTCCCATTGCACAAGCAGAAATCTGCTTGTACACATCTAATTACAAGTAGGGCATGGGGATTAAGTGGTTATGCCAAAGACTGAACAACAACAACATGGGTTTGCAGAAGAATTTGAAGGTAGACAGTGTCAATTTAGTTTGTAGTAATAATCACAGTTTTTAAGTGTACATCAGAGGAACACATAATTATTCTTAAGGAAACTGATGTTCCATGTTCCAACCAGCCCAGGCAAGTTTTACAGCCTCCTGAAGATAGTAACGTAAGGAACATACCCTCGCCTTAAGTAGTTCTGAATACTCTGATAAGCATCATTGAACATCTCTAGATCTTCTTTTTCTCCAAAGAGGATGTAAGATTTCAAAAGATATTCATAGAAGGAATCTAATCCTGCTCCCAAACCACTCTGCTTTCCAACCCAGTGGCCAGTTTGAATATTCACAACATTGCCTATGAAGTAAACACAAAGACAAAGATTATCCAAGAATAGCTACATAAATTGTTGCGTTTATACACTGCTTGGCTGATAATGCTCAACATAGTATAAAATTCCTGTATAACATGAAAGAAATTACAATAAAGTGTATACAATCTCAAAAGCCAGAGGACATCAGTATAGAAGTCAAGCATTACACTCAAAAGTCTGGATGCAAAACATTCAGTATGGGAAAGCTACATCCCTTTGCATTGTCTTTTAAAAATAAAATTGTGGCTTGGGTGTTAGCGGATCTCCTTCAACAGTCTGCCAATATAAGCACCCCTAAAGGGGACTTTAAGTTTGGACTTCTCAAATCATTTCAAGAGGATTTTAGGACTATATGTTCATTAAAGTACAGTGGTACCTCCGGTTGCGGACGGAATCCGTTCCGGAGTCCCGTTCGCAACGTGAAAAGCCTGCAACCTGAAGCGCCATATCTGCACATGTGTGCGGCACGATTTGGTGTTTGTGCACATGCGTGAAGCGCGATTTAGCACTACTGTGAATGTGGCGAAACCCGGAAGTAACCCTCTCCGGTACTTCCAGGTTGCCGCAGGATGCAACCTGAAAAAACGTAACATGAAGTGGTCATAACATGAGATATGACTATGTGAAGCACTGAAAGTACAAGGTTTTATTAAAAACAAACTTTGAGAACAGGGCTTGGAAGACCAACAGCACAGTTCACAAATAATTAGTTGTACATAATCCCATCTTCATTATCACGTGTGCACATAGCTGCATTCTACACCAGGTGAATATACAGCAGTAATCAATACCCATATCTGAGTGTTTCTATAACATTACCGTGGTGCATTATTGCAGAGATAATCATTCCCTAAATTAGGGTGGCTTCACACAGTATGCAGCTAAAGTATATTCCATTGTGTGTACATGCAGCAAGGATCCCAGACAATCCCATCTCCCGATTCTGTAATATGCCTACCTATGATGCACAGCTCACAAGCAAACATCGGATGCACTAGCGTAGAAGTAAAAATTTATTCCTAATATAATGGAGGATTTTTAGGCAATTGGGCAGAAAGGTCCCAGTGCGACCATACAAATGGTGCTGTGGTTAGTTCAGCGGTATAAGCTATCACAACTATGCAAGTACCATCTTGCCTCCCACAACTGCTCCCCTACCTTGCTGGAGGGCAGGAGAGAAAGATATCTGATTTAAAAAAAACTTGCCTTCCACCCATTGCAGCTTGCCTTTGCTTTGTAAGTCAATCTGTGAGGCTCACTTGAAAAGCAGTATATAAATATCTTAAATAAGTAACTTTTCGGGATTATATTACTGTTAACAAAGTCTGTTAATTATGCAAGACCCATAAACCTATTATGCACCTAATAGTCCAGTGTCATTGCTCCTTAGACTCCAGAGTGCTTTCACAGCTCGGCGGGCAACCCATTCAAAAGTGGAATCGCCCAGAAGCCTGCTAAGAATTCCAAATTCCACCAATAAGGATCCAGCTCCTGCAGTGCAGGTCTCATTGTTGCTGCCAGAAGGAACTCCTGTTCTTAAGTTTACCTACACAAAGATAAGAAGGTTTAAATGTACATTTCTTGAAAATCAAGCAGCAATAAGGATCCAGCTCCTGCAGTGCAGGTCTCACTGTTGCTGCCAGAAGGAATTCCTGTTCTTAAGTTTACCTATACAAAGATAAGAAGGCTCAAATGTTCATTTCTTGAAAAGCAAGCAGTTATATTTCTGTCTTTTGCTTCCTTCATTTCTACCCCCTTGATAATCAAGGACAAATATAAAGTGACTTGTGTGTTTCATCAGTGTTCTGTCATGAGGTTGCATCATATTCCACAGAGAATCTGTCTTAAAGGAGTATCCAGATTAACATTAGGCATGTAAATACCCAGCCATCAAAAGACCAAGTCAGACACTGCAAAATCTTCAACATGGAACAGCTTCAGGAACACAGTCATGTTGAGGAACCAACAGCTGACCTAGGGCATCCATTAAAGCAGTTGGTTTTGACAGCAGATTTTTAAAGTGAGGGCAAAGATATTTTCCGCTGTCAGGCTGTATGTTTTAACATGAGAAAGCAAGGCCTGTAAACACAGATGTACTGAGAAAGGCATTACTTCCTCCACAAAGCTGCTATACGTGGATGATATTCCAATCTAGTTTTTCAAAAAGCGGGCCTTACGTTTAATATTTAAGACCCATCTAGCCCCAGCAAGTGAAAGTAGAATGAAGTATTAAAGAAGGTTCCGTGAAAACTGTTCTTCATGGCACACTTACCCGAGGATATGGAATTCCTGTTTTGGTGTTCTCAAAAGCAGGTAACAGTCTTACAGCCAGGTCATGAGCCATATGCAAGAGCTCATTATCATAGCCCTTAATAGTCATATCCCCAAAAGGCTGCCTGGCATCTGTTATGATGATATGGGCTGAAAGCAGGCTTCCCAAAACCCTGTAAGAGAAAGTTTTAAAAGAGACAATATATAATTTGCTACATTATGTGTAATGTACAGCATATCAGTTATCAAAGTTAGGTTCAAGCTGAAGATCAAACAGAACATTAGCTTATATCAGGAGTGGGGAACATTTTTCAGTCTGAGCGCTGCAACCATCCTGGGCAACGTTCCAATCACCTCCATCCATGGAAGCAAGGGTCATCATGAGAATTCAAGGACACATACTAGTCAAGCAAAAAGCACCTGGGGTGCAAAGCAGGGCCACTGAGGGATGTGGCCCGGGGGAAAGGGGTGAAGGAAGTTCCATGAACAAAGAGAGGCCTGGCAGAGAGATACATTTAGGCCTTGGGCCCAAACCACATTCTGTACTCTTCAACTGAAAGATCAACATGTAAGATGCAGAGCATCTTAATCTGCTTCTTGAGCTATTTCACATCAGTTTTGTCTACCAGCACAGAATTCAGAAAAATCTGCTGTCATTTACTTGCCCGGTGTCCAAACACAATATAAATTGTTTTATGTTTATTCTGCACACCATCCCATGCTTGGCAATATTCTGAGCTTGCATATCCTGAGCGAGGACACATCTGTGATTGTAGTCTCACAGACAAGGAAATACCAAGTACAGTAAAGTTGAATTAATTAATTTAAGTGCAGGACCTAAATTGAGCTTTCAGCATCTAGTTAGCCTCTAAAAAGGCTCTGAAAATTATTGGCTAACACTGAAAATTCCAAGCCAGGATGCAAATCACTGTGATAGGTTTATATATCTCCACTAATCTATAAACTTGCTGTTCCTAAATTATTATTTTTTCAAAACCCTCAATAGAAAGTCCTCTTAAGTAAAAAAAAAATCACTAGAACAGATTACAAACCTTTGCTCTATCTTTCTTATAAAGAAGCCAATGCCAAAATGCTGGCAATTTGCTTAGCTGCAAGAGGCAAAATAGATATATCATGACTCAAATGCATTGACACATTCTTTTTATTTAACTAAACATAAGTAAACAAAAGGCAAAGCACAAAAAGGCAAGACTTGACAACCTTTAAGCAATGAAATAGTCACAACTGAGGGGTAAGGAACGAAAAGGGTATGTTAATTTCAGTGGTTAATTTCAATTCTGCCAGTTATAGGTATTTCTTGCTTTTGAGTATCTGAATGTGGTTAAAATTGCAGGTGTTGGAAACAGAGTTGAATGTGGCAAGTTTGCTGTTCTCGAAGCACAGTGGAGTTCTATAACAAAATTAATTGACAAACTGAGGAGTACATGCATGAGTACTTCTGCACACAGCATGCAGTAAAAAGACTAATAAGCAGGACTATTTTTCAGGGGGAACCTGCTAGAACTGAGTTCCGGCACCTCTAAGGTGGGCATCCTTGCCATTCTAAGAGAACGAGGGAGGTGTTTATGGTGAGTTCTGGCATCTCTTTTTCTAGAAAAATTGTTGTTTAGCTGTTTAGTCATGTCCGACTCTTCGTGACCCAATGGACCAGAGCAAGCCAGGCACTCCCTGTCTTCCACTGCCTCCCGCAGCTCGGTCAAAGAAAAATAGCACTGCTAATAAGGGCAGTCACCAAGATGCAAAGCAGCACCCCAACTTGTAGTGTCTTTTTTAAAAAGAAAAATGAGAGTGCAAAAAGAGGATGTTGTAGGGAGGGAGATACTGTTGTATGCTCCATTCATACAGCACAGCAGCATGATTTGTACTGTACAGCAAAAAGTTTTGTAACTCTCTGTAGTAGATGGTTACAGTTTTACTAAGCACTTTGCTCCTAAGGAACTTCATGCGTGTCCTCCTCTGCTTTGACTTCAGGGGTAAGGACAAAAAATATTGCTAGGCATGTAATATTAAGAGGGCTAAAATTATTGTCAGTTCCCTGCTGGTGTTTGTCTATAATAAAAAGTGGGTCCTCTTTAACCCTCTATTTTGCTTTAGTGACATTCTTTCTTCTATCACTCAAAATTGCCAATTTATTAAACTATGTTGTGAGACAACAAGCAAGCATAAATTAACTGTCTTCTGAAAATGTGATAAATTTAGTTGGTGCTCACATACAATGCTCTCAGATTTCAAGTGGCAACCTACCTAATTGTTGCTTCAAAAACTTGGACGGTTGAATCTGTGTCAAACGATACTGTGTCTATCACTAGTTTCACTGCTTTCTGGAACTCTGAAGAATTTCCCATTACCTTTAAGGCAAAACATAATTATCAGATTAAATAATCACAAGTTTTTGTACTAGCTGTTTAAAATGTTTAAAAACAAAAATTAAATATCAGGCATTACTAAAAATCGTAGAAATTTCCACTGTCACATTTCCTAAATCCCAATAATATTTCAGGACCTCAAAAGGTACCGTCCTAAAAACAACAAAGTATTAGAACACAAAGCACCATAATTTAAGTGTGATGGTTTAGTAAGGTGTATGATTTATGAAAAGAAAAAAAAACCAATTGCAACAAAACTATGCCCTATACAAAGTTTCAAAGTATAAGAAAACAACTTCCAGGGTTAAATATCTAACTGTCTAAACAACACCATGTAGAGAAGCTATAGTGATTTGTCCAAGCTAAAAGCAGGCTCTAACAGTAATACAAATGGTGATGGAGTTAAAATAATCAGAATGCAATGGCACTGGGTTAATTCCACAAGGAAGAAAATGATACAAAAGTCTACTGTGGCATGGATCTTAATAACAGTCAATAATTAGGGTGGTTATAAAAATATCAGATGTGTTGAATCGAGCTTGCTTGACAGAATTAATTTCCTTTTTTTAAAAAAAAAAACCTTCCTCAGTTAAGAAAACTACCTTGGCAGCAAGACATTCAATTCCAACTGCTTACAATTGACTCCACTCTGCTCCATAGAGTCTGCTGGCACATATAATCAAATTTCTCACTGCTTGTGACTATCAACAAAGCCAGGCATGAACTGAAGCCAATAGATCCCTTTTCCCTGAATAAGGGAGTTCCGTTTCCAGCAGAAGAGAACTCAGGAAAGGGGAGTTATCTAAGGGGAAGATGTTGGCACCTGTCTGTCTCGAGAGACAATGGAGTGCACCTCCTGGGGTGAAATCAAACTCCTTCGTTAACAGCGACGCGGTGACCTCCCAGGGCGCAAGCCTGGGCAGTGTGTATGGAGGTCCTGGACTGCCTACAAAACAAGACGACCTTCTCGGCCTCACTGATGTGGTCCAAAGAAAGCAGAGCAATACACCTGGCACCAGCCTGGCTGCAGGAGTTGCCAGAAGGAGGTGTACAAGGCACCATCCAACCATCTTAGGGACTCCACTCCGGATATGAATAGTATGGGTCTTTGCCCAGAAGACATGTGTGTTAATCAAGGAAAGGCAGGAAAACAAGAGGTGCATGTGTGGGGTTGTAACTACTTTTGATCATTTTTTCTTTTTCCAGTAATTAGAAAACATTTTAAACTCACTGCTAGGGTATCCAATGCATCAATCAGAGTAAGCGAGTAGTTTCCCAGGACATCATTGATATTCAGATTTGAACTGAAATAAAGTCAGTTAGAAGTTAGTTCTATCAGATTTTTTACAAGTTAGTTCAAGAATGTAGTCTATAAATCTTGTAGCCTGATACTAAGCTTGATTATCTGGATGAGAGTCTTAAAGAATTTAATGGGATGTATTCCCAGCTAAGTACCCAAAGGATTGCAGCCTTGGCCCCATAACATAGATGCAGTATTAGCACACTCCTACAGTTAATCAGTCTACTGTCATGTTATACTTTTAATTCAGTCATATGCAATTTCTTTCATAGTAAGGCAAAGATGCAACATGCGTCTACAGTCGGACCTTGGATCTCGAACGCTTTGGCTCCCGAACAAATCAGCTCCCAAATGACCGAAACCCGGAAGTGAGTGTTCCGGTTTTCAAACGATTTTTGGAAGCTGAAGGTCCGACGGGGCTTCTGCTGCTTCCAATTGGCTGCAGAAGCTTCCTGCAGTCAATCAGAAGCCGCGCTTCGGTTTTCGAACGTTTTGGAAGTCGAATGGACTTCCAGAACGGATTCCGTTTGACTTCCAAGGTACGACTGTAATAGGACATGTAGTCTAACAAAGTCAGAAATAGGATATACCGGTAAGTGAACTACGGTAGGCCTAGGTATTTTGACTTGATGGACTGGGCACATCTGAAATTAAAGTGACACAGATATCTAGAAGCTATACTACTGTCTGTATAATCGAGTGAATAAACGTATACAAGTCTAAACTTGGAGATGCAATTTCAGATACTTGTTGAACTATGAGCAAATTAACACATCAGAAAATTGTACATTCTTTTTCTAAATTAAATTAAAAAGAATTCTTGTTATAAGGCTTGATACAAAAAGCAGGACAGGATTATTGTGCCACATCTTCTCACTGAGCACTCTGCTGTTTAAAACAAAACAAAAACTGGTGTTCTCCAGATGTTGCAGAATACAAGTCCCATAACCTTTTGTCATGCTGTCTGCTGCTGAGAAAAAGTTGCTGTCAAAAATAGCTAGAGGGCACCAGGTTGTTGAAGGGTGGATTAGGGTATATATACTCAGGATCAAAACACAATTGCTTATTTCTTTAGACACACAATCAATAACAATGCTGTAAAAGGGTGTATTTTTCCTTCTTTCAAAGTGTATGTAGGGATTAGGATGGGATCCAAAGAAAGTACAAATACATACACTCAGAGGTTAGCATGCTGTTTTTGCTACAGCGACCACTGAAGTGAGAAGCCACTGTTCAATTTAAGTTACCTTGTCTCCTTGTGAGAACTATTTAATCAAAACAGCAAGTAAGCTCTCTCATCTTTCTTTATGAACTTTTCTCTATTCTTCAACCCAGTCTTATAGTCTTAACTAGGCCCCAAAATGTGGCAGAAATGCATGATTTTCTAAAAGTAACTTGAAATATCCATACAATTGCTCAAATTTGAGGCTGTTATACAAACATCTGCGTGCCAGTTAAGTCTCAAAGTCAGAAAAGGAAGTAGCTCAAAACTGGTAGACAAGAAACACAGAAGCTGCTTGCAGTGAAAACAGAATAGCTAGGAACATGAATACAGCCATGATATAGACTATTTTGACAAAAGTAGGCAGCTATGTTTATAAATACAACATTTAAGCTTCCTTCCCTTTTTCAAGAACTGGAATAAAGTTACCGATGTAACCTTCAAATTACTGGATTTAGTCTACAACCAGCATTCAACACTTCAAGATATTTTAAAGTTTTGAGTAGATACTTATATTTTGAAAATATGATGATTTGTTTTAGGAAATAAAAAAAAGAGAGAGAACAGATGTCTTGGAGAAGAGATGTCTTTGTCCAAGAACACAGTGTTCTTTGGACCCAAAGCACCATTCAAAATTCAACAAGATGGCAAAGGTTGACAACATCAGCTTGTTCATTATGAAAGCTTTAAGATTTACTCTGATGTTTCTCAACCCTGACAAAAACTACCCTAAAAGCACTTTCTAAGCATAAAATTAGATTTTCCTTACTGGTGCATCTGTTGAGAAATAGCCACACAGGCAATTATAAATATAATCTGGAAAGACAGAATGGGTGAAGTCCACACAGTATTATATAACTTTATATGAAATAAAATTTTAAGCTCAAATTGCTCTGCTAGCACAGGCCTATTTGTTCAAGTGATACATAGCAAAGAGCCAAAATTAAATCCCCAAATAATGTTTAGGCTAGGTCTAATTGATTTTCCCATGTGCTTCACATATGTAACTGTGATCCTGATCAAATTACAGCTCACATTGATTCCATCTTTGTGTAAGTACCTGTCTTACTTAATTTAGGATGTTGGGCAGAAGGCTATATTTATAGTGTAGCTTTTATATAAAATTTAATCCAATTATTAGACAATACATATTCCAATAAAACATGGATTATTTTGTATTCAAAATGTTTTTTAAAATCTGCCATTCAAAAGGTTCATTACCGAAGGCTCCTGATTAAACTTAGCAGTGATAATAGGACATATAATCTTATAGATCACTGAACCGTTTTTTTAAAAAGGAAGCAGCAAGTAGACTAAATGGATAGTTCTCACAACAGATGTATGTAAGAAGTGAGGCTCCCTCAAGGATCCATTTTGTGCTTTTTCATAATGACCTGGACTCTGGCACAGTCAGGTCAAATTATTAAGGGTGGTAAAAAGAAAAAGGGACCACGAAGAGCTCCAAAAAGGTATTTCTCCAAACAGGACAATGTCAAATGCAGTTCAGTTTAAGTGTAAACTGATGTATAGCAAGGCAAAAAATTATACCCACAAAAAATATACACACCAATGGTGAGCTAGTGATGACTGACCAGGAAAAAAGGTACTGAGGTTGTGGTGGGTAGCTCAGTTAAAATGTTGAGCTGGTGTGTAACCGTTGTGAAAGAGGTAGACTCTGTATTAGAGATCAAAATAAAACTGCCAATATTGTACTGCCTTTATACAAGTTTATGGTGCAACCACGTTTGGAATATTATATACAATTCTGATTCACACTTTTTTTAAAAAAAATGTGTAATTAGAAAAGGTGCGGAAAAAGGCAACCACAGTGACTAGGGGTTAAAGCAATTCCCCTACAACTTTTGGGGCTCTTCAAATTAGAAAAATAGATGGGGGAGGAAGACACAATAAAATGCACAAAATTATGCGGTGTGTTGAAAGAGGATAGGGAGAAGAAGGTGCCACAAGAATTACACCTCCATAAACAATCCTAGAACCCATCCAGTGACACTCAGGACAGACAAATGTACCACTTTATACACACAGCAGATTCAGTAACAGAGTCAGGAACTTGGGTGGCTTTAAAAGGGGATTAGACAAATTCATGGAGGATAAGGCAATAATCGGTTACTAGTGATGATGGCTACATACTAGAATCAAAGGCAAATACCAGTTGCTGGGAAATCATGAGCAGGAGAGGACCTGGATGCAGGATTAAAGGACTTTGATCCGATCAAGAAGGTGTTTCTTTATGTCCTTAGGTGTGTCTGTGTTGACTAAAAGCTTTTGTGATCTTATTTACAAAGTGTCATTTCAAGGCTCACTTATAAATAAGCTTGCAGGAAAGCATAAAGAATATGGCATGTAGATTTACTAGCAAACATGTGAAGTTGTGTTAGTTAAACAATCCACATCACTGAACTGCACAAATCAGTAAACTGCTACTGCATGTATCTTACTTAACCTGTAGCCATTAGACAACAGAAAGAGACCTATACAGGAAGGACAATGTATAGCTGCAGGAAACCGAGAGGCACCAGGAATCTATTAGTAGCAACCAAAGCTTTAGCAGCAAAGTTAGTCTTTGCAACCAAGGGAAACCCCACTGTCGACTGCGTCTCCCTCCCAGGAGGAATGAAGCAATGCTCATGCAATTTTTGAAGCACTCTGCGATTTTTAAGACTGCAAACAACATGTAAGATGGCATCACTGGGTGCAACATAGTTGGGTCTGACACTTCTGTAAGAATAAGATCTGATAAAAGAAACTAGAGGAAACCAATAGCTGTCACACTCCAACTGTCACCTTTGCACTTTGGAAAGAGTACACATATGCAGTCACTACATAGCTCTTGTGACTGTTCAGTTTTATTGTTTCTGAAAGACTGCTTTTCCTATCCGCAGCCGTAACTTTACTGCCAGTTTCACTTCTCCTAAATCTGAACCTTCCCATCTCAAAAACAAGCTCCATGTTTTCACCTTAAACTCTGCTCCCCACCCATTTCTACGTGCAGGGACCATTCAACACTGTTGTTGTTGGTTTTCCCTTTAGCACTGCAACTGGAGTTAGCATCAATACATCCCTACCTTGGGGTTCCCAGACCAACCTAGGGTTCTTACACTCACAGTAGTTACAGTCATAGCTCCACATCGATACAAGACAGCTGGGGCAAGAACAGAGCAGGATTTAGGTTTGATGAGGCCCTAAGCTACTGAAGTTAATGTGGCCCTTTATATGTCCAGCTATCCTTTGTCAAGACCCATTACTTGCATCATAGGAGTCTACACAACACATAACTCTGTTGCTGTATGTAGGTTTTATTTTTTTATTTTTTTGATCTTATACTGTATTTTGGAAATGTACATCCATATTATTTTTCCTTTAAATTTTTTGGTGGCCCCCAAGAGAGTGGGGCCCTAAGCTATAGCTTGTTTAGCTTATACATAAATCCGGCACTGGGCAAGAAATGCGAACACATACTAATACCTATACTGTATGATGCCTAAACCACAGAGGTGGTAGTTGCTATCAGCTTCAAATGGTCTCCCTTTCAACTTGCTCCCAAGGGCCTATGGCAGCATATCCCATAACCTGTTCCCTCCACCACCACCCCCAAAAAAGAAAATACTCTTTGAAAGGTGATTCAAAGTCTCCCTGCTTTAAGTCCCTAAGTTGCTCCACTCTTACTTTCTCGTCGAGTTCAAGTTCACCCGCTGAAACAGATGGGACAAGGTTTTCACACCCACCCACCGAAAACTCTCAAGTCCTCTTTTCCCCTCTTAACTCCATTCTTTTGCCAACAGCCCAGGTAGACCACGTCCAATTCCCTCTCCCTGCCCGATCTCCAAATTCTCTTTTCTCTCTCTCTCTCATCCCCTCGAAGCAAGCAGGAGGGCCCCTGAGCACGAGCAGAGCGCGCACCCCACCCAGACCGTGGGACGGGCGTCGCGGGGGGCAGAGGAGGGCGGGGTGCCGAGCCCCGGAAAAAAAGAGTCTCCCTCGCGAAGGCTACTCACGGGTCGGCTCGGTCGGGCCCCCTCCCGCTGCACTCGATGGGGTTCAGCTCGTCCTGGGGGAAAGCGTGCGCCATGTAGTTGTCGTAGCCGAAGGCGAACATGCCGCGGGCGGCGTCGCGGAGCTGCGCGCGGAGCTGCGGAGGGAAGGCGCGGCTGTAGCGCTGCTCGTACTCGTCGCCGCCGCCAACACCGACGACCCTCCTGGGGGGCGACGAGGAGGCGGCGCCGCTACCGGCTCCCCAGGCCTTGCCCAAGAAGGAGGCCCAGTGCGGGGCGACCAAGCCGGCGTCGAAGCAGCGCGCGTCCGAGAGCGGGGAGGCTCCGGCTCCGCCACTGCTGCCGCCGCCGCCGCCGCCTCCCTCCGGCGGGCTGCAGGAGAGGCCCCGCAGGCGCTGGTGGTAGAAGCCCAGGCTGGGCCCCGCCAGCCACAAGAGCGCGTGCCCGGCCAGCTTCAGCGCCACCAGCGCCAGGACCAGCGACCGCCATTGCATGGTCGGAGCCGTCAGCAGCGGCGGCGGCGGTAGCACCACGGCGGCCACCGCGCGCCCCTTTCACGCGCATACTTCAAGCGGAAGCTCCGCGCCTGTCGGAGGAGGGGACCGCGGAGGGGGGAAGCGCGCGGCCTCCCCGCCCCTCAGACTCCTCCTCCTCCTCCTCCTTCCCACGTATCCTTGGCAGAAACAATAACACGTCTCCTTTAAGGGCCGACGGGTGTGAAGAGGCGCGAGAGGGGGGTGTTGCCGAGATGGGGAGGAGGAGGAGGAGGATTGTGACAGGGCCGTGTCGGAGTCACCGTTGCCGCCGTCATCACGCGGAGACGGCGGCGCAGCGTTTCACGCCCGTCCCCGCCCACATAAGGTTTCTTTCCGAGAAGCGGTCGAAGGAAGATGATGACAACAACAACGCCAGCCTTGGAACTGACGTGGCGAGCCACGATTTCACCCAGCCGAAGCGGTTAGCCAATCAGAGGGCCGGGAGTGTTGCCCTTGGGTGCACTCGGCGCGGCCTTCCTGGTGACGAGCGTGAAGGGAAGCGCTGCCGCCGCTAGAGGGAGTGCTTGCGTTTTACCTTAGTTTGTACAGCTGCTGTAAACAAGGGACTGTTGAAACGTGTTGTTTTTCCCCACCTCCCCCTTTTGAATTGTGTTTGGTAAAGAGCTGAATACCTTTTATTCCTCCCACCTGTTTGATTGCTTCACGCACTGGGGTTTGAATCACGCCCCTAACCCCAGTTATGATGCTGGGATAACAAGTTGTTTTGTTTGTTAATTTGACAGCTGGTGGAAGTGATTTCATAGAACCACAGAATTGCAGAGTTGGAAGACAGCTCCAAGGGTCCTATAGTCCAGCCCCCTGCAATGCGGGGATCCCAACTAAATCATACACGACCGATTTACGGACTGCCTTCCAGTTTGGGGGTGTGGCACCTGCTTCTTTTGTCCCTTTTCGAGAGAAGGTGTGACACGGCTTTTTGCTGGTTTGGAAGGGGGGCAGGTCGCACCATTTAAAAATCTCTATAAAACCTAATTTTTTAATGTATAAATTGTTTAAAAAATATGTAGACTCTACTGTACAGCTTCAATCGCTCTTTAAAAGATAAGACATAAAAAGTGGTTGGGGGCAAAATTAGCATGTGGATGGTTTTTTAATCAACTTTCAAAATTGTGTTGAAACGCTTTCGTAAGAGTGCTTTTTAAAATGGAAACGAAAGGATTTCTTAGCACAAAGTACAAGATAGATTTTAAAAATTATGACGCTAATAAAATGGCAAAGGCTGCCAAGTACAGATGCATGTTGATAGTCTCGCGTGACCAGTAAGTCACTGCACACATCAAAACCATACCTCTTTAAAAAGACAGGAAAGTACTGCTAAGGCTACCTACACCTGTGGAAAGTGAGCTTTTATCTTTGCCCTACACCCGTGGGGGCGGGAGCAGTGATGGAAGCAGGTTACTGTTTATGTCATTTAAATGCTTGTAAAGAGAGGGAACCAAGTGTGGCAATTCCAGAGTAAACCCTGCAATTTTGCATCCGCGTGGAGGAAATAATGTGACAGAATCTAGTGTAAACAGCAATGTAAGCACTGAACACATGCAACCATCTGTGTAGAGCAGCAAAAAAGAGGCTCAGTAAGGTAAGATGTGCAAAGTGGGGGGTTGATGCTGTGAGGATGCAAGTAAGGTAAGTTGCTTAAACTTTTCAAAAAGGGTTTTTAAGTTCAGTATTTTATTTTGCTTTTGGGAGACCTCCTTTTGTGAGATACCCACTACTGCATTTGTGTGTAGCAGTAACTCACTACAGCAATACCATTTCACTTTGTAGTTAGGTGACGCATTTCATGTATCAGACAAAGCAGAATCTGGCCATGAAAGCTTACAACACATCACATTTTTAAAGTCTTTTAAGGTACCAAACCATTTTTTTACCCACACAGATAAGATTTCAAACTGCTTCTACATGGACAAAAGAACCCTTCTCTGTAGACATATCAGAGACAAAATTTGACTATGGCTGTGATCCTAACCATGTCCACTCAGAAGTACATACCATGATAAGTGGGGTTAGACGTAGTGGGCAATATCACAAATGATCAGTAAACATACCCTTTGTTGTAAAACAAATTTCTGAAGTATAAGACTTAGGTCTAAACCCTACCTATAGGATCACTTTTCATCTTTAGTGTCCACCCATAGCAAGCCAAAGCCACAGGAAATGCACAAATGATATAAGGTTTTACACAGCCCGTTTGCCATTTAGCTCTACCCTATCCTTCCCTGAGTTGCTTTCTAAAGGTTAATGTGCTAATACCTACACTGGGGGTAATGAGTCACTGAGCAGCAGGGACCAACCTCGCAAGGATTCTCTGTCTCTCTCATTTTGTTTGAACACATAAGTGCTGGTTTGTATTGAAAATGAAACTTACTATGGTGGAACAGAAATCACACTGATGGATCAAACCATTTTCTTGCAACATAGGGCTTGTCTACATTTGAGCGTTATTTCACTATTAATTAGACCAGAGTAGTTCACACCCAACACATACTTGATTTTGTATGAGAGCAACCTCAGACCAGCATGCCAGTGGGCTTCTCTTTTGTCTGTCCCAGCCTTCAGCTTTGTTGATTTTGTTATGCCAGATGCTGCATGCAGAACTTGTTTTAAAAAAATTAAAATCTCTGCCCCCAAAATGTGCAAAACCAGAGCGAGGCAGTTGTAAATTTGCTTGGTGTTCTGGTTTTGTGCAAATCTGAGGGATCTAAACAATTTATGTCTAAATATCTTAAAGCCCCTGACTCACCCTTACACCCTTAAAGCAACTATAAATTCGCAGAATACTTAAAAGAAAATTTTAATGTAGATTGCTTGTGCAGGTTTTTTTTTATTTTGTGCAAATCTCAAGGATCAAAGAGGGGCAATTATTCCATTCAGGAGCACACCAGATGTAGCTACAAGCGCAGCTGAAGAAGAAACTGAAGCATTCAAGAAGTAGCAGACATGGAAAGGGGAGTAGCAGTGACAATTAATCCACCCACTAGAAACACCAAAACAAATTTGGAACTCCAAGGGGAAGTGGTTTTAAGGAAGGATCAAGTGGGTTACTGTATTAGTAAAACACAGGCCCTCCTCACATTCAGTCCTCAACATATATTTGAGGGAATGTGACCCTCAAGAGAAAAGAGGTTGCCTACCTCTAATTTTTATGTGAAATGGGAACCATGTTGCAGATTGGTATTTGAGTTCGTTCCTACCTCTAAAAATATAACTATTTGGCAGGCACCCTCATTATATACTGTTTTAGATGCCTTTTAAAAGATCATTTCAAGATTTTTCAGGTGCATAATACTCATTTCTCATAGTGACCCAAAGTAACCAATTAAGAACATCAAATAAAAATCTAAAAATATATAGCAATACAGATAAAAGATAGGACTCCTGAACCACTAAGAGAGGCCACAGTGCCACCCTTCAAATTTAAGGCCCAAAGTTCATGTAAAAAGAAGTGTCACTGCCTGGTGGCTGAAAAATTCACAAAGAGGGTATCAGGCATGTCTCCCCAATGAGCGCATTCCACAAGCCACCATCAAAAGGGCCTCCAAAGCTCCTGTTGACATGGCACATGAAGGGCCTCAGATTCATAGAACTGTACAGTTGGAAGGGAGCCTGAGGATCTAGTCCAACCCCCTTACAGCGGCGGAGCAAGCCAATCACGCGCCTGGGGCGGCGCAAGTGCCATGTGCCCAAAGGCAGGGCCAGTCAGGGGACGATGCTCTGAGGAGTCTGCCTGCCTCCTCCCACTCAGCCGCCCTACAACGGAGGGGGTGGCAGCGGGTGGACCGTTTGGGACAGCACAAAGCCTGCGGGCACCCAAGCCACCGCGTCACTCCCAGGAGACGCATGGTTTGGGCATGCTGCAGGCCCCGCGGTGAGTGCAGCCTGCCATTTTGTCACACACACTCCTCGGTGATGACACCTGGGGCAGCCCGCCCCCACCGCACTACGCTTCCTCTTCCTCTGCCCCTGCCCCCTTACAATGCAGGAATATGCAGCTGTCCCATATGGGGACCAACCATAGTGTTATCAGCACCATGCTGTTAGCTCAGTTGTTACCATCAAGCTCAGTTAGAAAGATGATCACATGGTCCAGATTGATTCATAAGGTAAAACACAGCCCCTGGGGTCCTGAGTCACATGAGCTTTTAAAGGTAAAAATAATAATAACCCAGCACTTTTGAGTACAGAAGCTAATTGGTAGTCAGTGCAGTCATGCCAGAATTTCTGTTATGTATTGACTGCCCTGCCCTGGTCAACAATCTGGTTGCTGAATTCTACACCAGCTGCAGCTTAGCTATGGATCCTTGTTTTTAATATTTTTTGTTGTTTAGTCGTGTCCGACTCCTCATGACCCCATGGACCATAGCACGCAATATTTTTAGACTTCAGCTATTATAGTAGTAATTGTTTTATTTTAATTTCAGAAGAGGTTTTTTTTTGATGAAGCAGTTTCTATTGTTTTTCTGAAGCAAGGAAGTTGGCAGGCTACAATAGGAGTCATTCTCTATGTGCTAGTTTTCTTTCAGTAATCCTTCTAAAGGATATTGCAGAAGGCATCTAAATAGGCGTGAAATCTTATGTTTACAAAAGGCTAAGCAGATTGGCAGAGAAATGCCAGCATCTGCTGCTGCCAAAATTCATACATAAACCATCGTTCCACAAATGACTCAATTTTCTCTTTTCTCACAATTTGAAGCCAGTTTTCACATTTATATATAGCTTAAGGTAAAGGGTATATGCAGCTTAATTGGCCTTTAAAAAAACAAAACACCATGGAGATTTAGGGAAGTTGGGGAGGGGGAGATACAGATAAAAATGTGTTTGTTTACAAGCACTAGACGCAATCATTCCAAAAGCAGTTTGTGATTTCTTGAAATGCCAGTCAGGAAGACGGTTTTACTGCCTCTCCATCCACCATCCCTAATTTAATTATCTTGTGAGAGCTGCAAAAAAGGGGGGAGAGGAAGTCATAAGGCATCACATGCCACTTTCCCCCTTTATTGGCCCTGTATCTTTTTCTCCACCACACCCTCACTGCACAGAATCAATATGACAGCCATCAGCATAGTAGAGGCATGAGGAACCTATTTATTATCCTCTGGATCTTGTTGGGCCCCAGCTAGCATAGCCCATGCTCAGGGGTGGGGTGGGGATTCTAGTCCAGACATTTGAAGGGGCACAGACAGGTCCCCATCCGACACAATGCTTAAAGACCTGTGCTTCTGCAAGCTGCTACAAGCCACATAGGGCCTGTTGTTCCACCTTCATTGTCATTTCAAATACACTAGTGCAGGCATAGGCAAACTCCGGCCCTCCAGATGTTTGGGACTACAATTCCCATCATCCCTGACCACTGGTCCTGTTAGCTAGGGATGATGGGAATTGTAGTCCCATAAGTCTGGAGGGCCAGAGTTTGCCTAAGCCTGCACTAGTGGAAGCTGTACAAGGCAAATCTACAACTGCGCTCATCTTTCTGTGATACATCTTCAGGAGTTTGTGGTTTAGCACCAAATTTGAAATGACAATCCAGAAGTAAAATTCCTCAAGTGTAAGGGGTTAACCTCTTTACCTTTCCTCACTACTTCAAAACAGTTCTCATATTGAGCAAGGAACTTTATCACTCTTTGCCCACTGTAATTTTACAACTTTCAACAAACGCTGAAGATGCACCTTTTAACTCTGGCCTTTGGCACCAGAGGTGTGTGTTTTTAGTAACCAATTTGCAAGTGTTTTTAATTTTCAATTGTGGTAACCCGCCCTTGGACCTGCCACTGAAAGAGAAGTAGCAACTTTACTGCTAATAATCATACCACCAATAATCCAATTCTTGCAGTGGTTGCAGAATTTTAGCAGGGATATTAACCTTTAACAGATCATTGTCTCCCATCATGCAATAATGTCATCTTTTCTGTTGTGCTTGCCTCCAATTTCATCCAAGATCCCAGAAAGTTTCACCTTTTCCCATGCCCCTGAGGAACATTTAGCTCCATAGCCCAGGCAGCAAAGGTATTTATACCTTTTCCCCCATCCAAAAGTCTGGGAAGTTCAAGTATACTTGAATGAAACATCACCAGGCATAATTGTTCTTAGCCTTATTAGAAGCAAAGCATATACTGAAGATATTGTGGTGTGGGCATCTCTGCATTTGTCGTAGGCCAGCTGTGTTCTAATCTATATTAAGAGAGGGTTGTGGAACCCATTTGCTGCCATTCCCACCAGCATAGCCAATGGGTCCAGGAATTATGGGAGTTTTCATCCAAGAAGCGCTGTAGGTCCACAGGTTCCTGAACACAGTTTTAAGGCATAGCTAAAGGGACCCTTGACCATTAGGTCCAGTCGCGGACGACTCTGGGGTTGCAACGTTCATCCTAACTTTATTGGCCGAGGGAGCTGGTGTACAGCTTCCGGGTCATGTGGCCAGCATGACTAAGCCGCTTCTGGCGAACCAGAGCAGTGCACGGAAATGCTGTTTACCTTCCCACCGGAGCGGTACTTGCACTTGCACTTTGACGTGCTTTTGAACTGTTGGCAGGAGCAGGGACCGGGCAACGGGAGCTCACCCCGTCACAAGGATTCGAACCGCCGACCTTCTGATCGGCAAACCCTAGGCTCTGTGGTTTAACCCACAGCGCCACCCGCGTCCCAAGGCATAGCTAGGTAATTTTACGTTTTGTAAAAAGGAAAAAGGGGGTGTATTAGGGAAATGGTACAGGAATACAAATGTCTACATTATGAACAGGAAGGACACCTGCATGAGGCTGGACTGGATATTCCACACACTAGGTTTTGAGGCTTCACTCGCTGTGGAGAGTGCAGTCAACCACAGCCTCAAGGACTTGGAACATATGCAAGTTTCAATAAGCACAGGAACAGTGAGAGTCTCTAACGTCCGAGTAAGAATACAGGCTTACTCCATCTCTATCTCGGTCACATTGACACTTTTAAGGTCCAGTTACATACATGCCAGCATAACCCTGAAAACATAAGTTTATTGGTTAAAGCTAAACAGCAGTAAAACAAAATGCCATCCACCTAAATAAAAAAATTCACATATTTACAAAGTTTGGTAAATGTAGAAGTTCTTCACATGCCGAGATTAATGCACAGATTAAAAAGTTGATAGTGGTTTTTGATGTCGAAATGCTGAAAGCAGTGAAGTATGCGCAAAAAAAGAACCCACACTGAATTCAGCAACAGGCCAGTTTCTTTAACAGTAATTTGATTCTCAGAAGAAGCAAAGTTGACACATTCTAGTTCAGCTTCCTTATTTTTAGGCACAAGCAGAGTTTCTCTAGTTAAGTGTAGCAGTCTGTAGTCAACTACAATAGCAAGTGATTGACCTCATCTCTACAGCACCAAAAATACAGGATTTATAGAAGCACATATGAAGTTAAAAATGCAAAAAAGCTCAATTTGCTAATGGAAGCAATAGCTGTGTCTGTGCAACAGTGCAGCAAGTTTGTATGGGAACAGTAAGGCCATGGCAGTATAAAGCAAAACTGGCTGTTGTGGGGCACATTAGTGTGTTAAGTCAACTTGGTCCAATTGCTGTTGCAAAGCTGCTGTAACTTTTTAATGAGTCTTCATACATTCTGCCTGTAATGCACACACATTTGGCTATTGCGACTAATGTATGATCCCATGTTACTTTTCCCCCAGACCACCTGATAGCACTGTGGAGTCTTTTACAAACTCCATGTGATACTGTAAAGGCATGGCCTGTGGCCTTTTGGCATAGAGCCTTTGAAAGTAAGTAACACAGGAATGCCAGTATTAGACGAGAAGAGTTTTGCCATACATGCAGATTAGCAAAGGCATACTATACCATGGCTGATCGCAGTACTTGGGGGGTTCCAGTATGAAATATCTGTCCTTTGAGAAACCATTTTGTCCTTGAAAGACATATTATGAACGTGCCCTTAAATGTACCAAACCTGTGTTAACATGGACTCTGAAAAGTGCAACATCCAAGTACATGCAGGTGCTGCTTAAAAAAAACAACGAAACAATGGGGGCAACACAAGCAGGTGTACCATATATTTGTATGCATACAGTGGGCTACATCGACATTGTATGAAGAAAACCAGCCTTAACAAGTCTGTCCCTTTAAATATTGACATTGCCAAGAAGGTAAAGCTACAAAAGTAGTGTTACAGTTTGATTCATACACCTCTATGCTGTGTAGAAGCTAACCAAGAAACAGGATCAGTTCATTGATTCTCTTGTGCTTCAAGACACCATTCAACATTTCTTAGCCTGTGGACTTTTACACATGATTACACACCGAGAAAGCAGGCAAATCTAGAGTTGTCACAATAGCCTAGGCATTTCCTAGCACCAAGTGCAACTGTGCTCAATTATTCCATTAAGAGGACAAGCCAGATAACAATACGATTATTTTGTGCTGGGAGTCTGACACCATCAGGGTGCCATGCAGACTTTGCAAAGCATTTCGAGGAACAAGGTGTCATTGTTCAGTCTCGTCCGAGGTTCCCAGGTTCGTTTGACTTGCTTGTGTGTTCAAACACTTGAAAGCTTTATTTCAAAAGTACTCTATTCCCCTTAAGAATTTCAGCATATAAAGTCATTAGCAATGACCTGCACAGATACAAAAGTTGACAATTGGACATTTCATTCATTAGAATGAAGGAAGTTTTGAGAAACTCAAGGTAATTTAGTGATTTAATACCTAGTGCCTGGCACTTTCCATTGCAAACCATTTTACAATACATATCACATGCATCTGAGAGAGAAAAGTTAGTATCCCATTTAAACAGTGTTTGAAAAGCTTTATAAGCACAATAAAGTGGTGCTAGAATCCTTGCGCTGCCCTGTGTCAGCATCTTCAACGAGCCACTAAATATAAGAATTAAATAAGTTTCTTGACAATCAAATATAAAAACCTGGCTCAGGAAGACCAGAGCAGAAACACACTGATTTAATGATAACCTTTGAGAGGGGAGAAGCACCCACTGCCACTGCTTAGATGAACTAAGAAAAAACATTTGCGCGACTCATGACAACTCTAGCCAATTTTTATGACAGAAGTAGGAATATAAGTCTTCAGCAGTGCACATGGAGGCATGAACTGTGAAAAAAGGCAATTCCTTGGATACAGGAGGACTATCCTGAATAACATTTCATCATGGAAGGAGCAGACAAATCAGACTATGGCCAACTGTGGAGATGTTATCGGTGATATTTCAGCTTCTTCTGGACTTTGAATGCTGAATAAGCCACTGAAGTGTGATATCTAGAAGAAAAAGAAACAGTTGTCATTTATCTTAGATATTCTACTTCCTGCAGTTGAACATCCAATCTAAAAAGGAGATTACACTTATCTACACAGCTATATATTCAAAAAGGTTAGACTAGGGTCTACATGTAAGTAATAATTTCCTTTTCCAGATTTGGGTGTGGGGAGGCCATAGGAAAATAGCAGGCAGGTGTTCCATTAATGATCCATTTACAGAAATACCTCATAGGGCTGCCAAGCTCCAGGACCCAAGGCATCTTGGCAAAAGTTTTTTGGATAGGTTTTGGGGCAAACTATTACTACCTGTCCTTTCAAAAAGTGCTAAATAATAGGCAGGCAACAGCTGGCACCAAAGTCACATTAAGAAAGGGAAACCTAATTAGGACAGAGGTGGATACTTAAAAGAAAAAATGAGCATGTACACTATGCTCTGCACAGCAATAAGTTTAGCTATATAAATGCTGTGTACATACACACACCTGTTAAGTCACACAATCATGAAGAACATTGTAGGCACAGTCTCTGCTATATATTCAGTCAGTTATAGACCTATAAACAACAAACTAAATGAAATTCTACAAGGGCCAGTGGCTTGGAATGAACTAGTTTGGTTTAATGAAGTCTACTGAATTAGTTCAAAAATCTCTGAACTACACCTGAAAGTTGTTCCCATAATCACCAGGCTGAATGTGAATTAATTTTTTTGGAAGTGCAGCTTTGAACTGATTCTAGTTCATCTTCAAGTTCCTTTTCTTACACGTGCTTCTTGACTCTTTAGATTCTTTGGGCCTTTAGGCTTGAAGATCATAACTGTTGGGGAAAGCTAGTCACATTGCTATCAGTGTGTGCATATTTTGATGTTTTCCTCTTAAATAACTTTTATACTTCAGCACACCAGCTTGTAACCTTCTGAATGCTGGAAAAAATGCCAAGGATAGTTTGGATGAACTTGAACTGAAACAGACAGTTTTGTAAAGCGATGAACATGAACTGGAATTACCGTATTTTTCGTCCTATAGGGTGCACCGGCCCATAGGACGCACCTCGTTTTTTTTGGGGGGGGGGAGAATGAATAAAAAAAATTATTCCCCCCCCAGCCGCAGCTGCCGCCCCAAGCCTTGCGCACACCTGCCCGAAGCACGGGGCGCCCTCCGGAGGGCTCCCCGTGCTTCAAGCGGCAGGCTGCCACCCCAAGCCTCACGCACCAGGTGGGACCTCCCGCCGGACGCGCAAGGCTTGCGAATACCTTCCTGAAGCCTGGAGAGCGAGAGGAGTCGGAGCGCACCGATGCCTCTCGCTCTCCAGGCTTCAGCAAAAGCCTGCATTTGCCCCATAGGACGCACACACATTTCCCCTTCATTTTTGGAGGGGAAAAAGTGCGTCCTATGGGGTGAAAAATACAGTAGTTCCTTTAAAAAATGAACTTTCCTAGTCCTGATTAGGGCCATATATTTTGCAGGAGGGACAGAAAGCAACTAACCTAGTAACACATGGCAGACACAAACACAACCAAGAGTTAATTTTAAGAACTAGAATCTAAAGGATGGCATGTGGAATAAGAAGAGTATTAGGTCACACAAAATGCCAATTGTCAACTCCAAATCCTTTAGTGATGGCAAGTTGACTATTAGGAGCACCAACACTTAGTTAAGAATACTGAACGGCTAGAAGTTAGGTTGCTTCAGTGTCCCTCCCAAAAGAAGAGGGGGTGGAGAGACCCAGAAAAGCCATTCCATGAGTGGAAGCCATCAGTCACAAAGGCACACCACTCTCCCCCACCACCCTTTTATGGAGAGATAGCCTGTAGATGGTTCAAAAATGTATCAAATAGGACTTACAAACTGAAACCAAGAACCACCCTCTGAAATGGACCTGAAGCTTCAAGAGAAGCAGGCTTTGGTTTGGCGTCGGTCCAAATCTATCCAAAGCAAGCTGGCTTTACTAAACTATATTGCTTAACAGATCTCAGCCTTATTCACATTTTAAGTGAACTGTTTGTGATCAGTCTGTTTTTCCTTGTCTTTATACGTAGTTTTCCATTTACCCAGGTACTACCATAGACTAATTCCACTGCTCTGAGCGGAAGACAGAAGCATTTGCAGCACACTGTCAGGGTATTCAATGAAAGACACCTTATAGAGATTAAACTCTGAGTTCCCATACTTTAGCTCAGAAGTGTGGCCTGCCAGTTTCACTTTTATGAAACCATATGTTTGGTCTATCTAGTCTCACAGTCAGTTAATTACACAGTTCTGAATTTATAAAAATGCTAGTATATGTGTTGGCATGAACTGCTAAATGTCTGAAAGGATGCATGCAGTTTTGCAAGAACAGCCTTTATGAATCCAATTTGTGCACCCAGTGGAAGTTAGCACCTATGCATTTTAATCACCTATATTGTCCTTTTCTTTGCAGGAAATGGAGTAGCAGCAGATTTCTCTGTCTTGAATAGCAGCCAGGTTCCTGGAAGAGAAGCAGCACAGGAACACATTAGTGATAATCCCTAATTGTAATTAATAGGAATATTTCTAAGGTAAGTCATCTTACCACTATTCCTAAGAATCACATTACAATATGAAACTAGTCTCTTAGACAACACCTCTCTTACCATACCAAGTTTAATTTTGAACACAGCAAGTCAGCACAGAGCATCTTATCATATAATTGCTTAGTCACTTACATTTTTTCAATAAGTTGCTTCTCATCCAAAGCATTGGGAAGGTCTCTTTTGTTTCCAAGTACTAGAACCTGAAAAGAGAAGGTACTGTATTTATTTGTACCCCGTCTTCTTGTGAAGGCAGCTTACATTCTGTTTAAAACAAGATACTTACTTGCCCAATTTCGTGTAAACCAGAGCATAGAGGGAATAAATCGGTAGTGTGAAAGAACTAAAGTTTCAGGTTCTAGGCAGTTAAGCCTCAACAAGCTCAGGCTTTTATCTATTTGTAGACGTAGTTTGAATTCAAACCAAACCTATGAAGAGACTTCAAAGGGACCCCACGCTCTGGTGCCACTGGTCGTCCCATCAGATGCAGCACAGAAACTGCATGCAGAGGCAGTAAAGGAGCCAGATGTGAGCACACCAAGCAGGAAGCAAAACCAGAGGGCTCGCTTCCATAGCACCCTAGTCAGATGTGGTAAGTTTAGGTATATAGTGGGCTCCTTCAGTTAGCAGCGTTCGCTAACTAAAACATTTTGAACACAGATTGTCAAAACCAACCCTCTTAGCAAGTTATTTTTAAGACTTTTCACATTAACAGCTTCCACTCTGGGAAACATTTGAATAGTCTTCATGTTTTGGGTATATTGCTGTAGTGTATTAGTTCTACTATGGAAGCTTCCAGACAAGGATTAAGACAAGAGGGATGGAGCTCCCAAAAAGGGCTGGGAGAGACTCCTGCCTAAACTTTGGAGAGCCACTGCCAGTCATTATAGATAACCAGGAGTTAGATGGACCAATGGTCTGATTCAGTAGAAGGTCAAAAGCATGCTTAAGAACATGGAACGGATGGAGCTGCAGAAGCTGAACACAAGTGGAGTTTGACTGATTTGGGCACAAGGTAGAATTCCTTTCAAAACAAATTAAAACCTTAAAAGTTTGTATGGGACGACGGACCAGATGTTTACAACTTACAGGGATTCCTTGTAGCTGTGGTTTGTCTAATAGATTGTGCAGCTCATTTCTAGAGGCTTCTATTTTTTCACGATCCGCAGCATCCACCATATACCTGTTAAAGGAGTTCAGTAAGTGACCACCGGGTTTATACACTATAAAACATTTGTGCAAGGCAATCCTATCTAAGCCAAAGTAACTCTAGCAAAATTGCTAGAGGTTATAAAATAGCTCACCGGGTAACGGGTCAGTGCTGAGGACATACGCAACCTGGTAAAGCCATAGATATTAACCTTAGCAGTAGCTGCTGCAGTAGGCAACTAGGTAGATTAGAGACTCTGTGCTGCAGTGTGAACTAGATTGTGTTAGAGTATGATCTAATGTTTGCAGTTTGCTGGTATCATGCTGGGAATCCCTGTGAGGGATTAAAGAACAATCAAGTGGAATCACAGGAAGTAGATATGCAAGTCTTATTTGCTAGAGAGATTGATAACTCTTTTGGGATCAGAGCATTCACTCGACTAGACATTCTCCTCTGCACTGTATGTTAAGAACATGCTTTTGCTTTTTTTATATAAGTTGTGGTTTCAATGTTTTACTTTTATGCATTGGATGTTGCTTTGGAAGTCCAGTTAAAAGGTTTTTGTTCAATTGCTTACAATAAATATAAGAAGAAGAAGAAGAGTTTGGTTTTGATATGCCACTTTATCACTACCCAAACGAGTCTCAAAGCGGCTAACATTCTCCTTTCCCTTCCTCCCCCACAACAAACACTCTGTGAGGTGAGTGGGGCTGAGAGACTTCAAAGAAATGTGACTGGGCCAAGGTCACCCAGCAGCTGCATGTGGAGGAGCGGAGACACGAACCAGGTTCCCCAGATTACAAGTCTACTGCTCTTAACCACTACACCACACTGGCTCTCATATAAACTAATTGTCAAGCTTTCATTGACAAGCCATGGTATTGAGAAACTTCATTTTGAACAGCATCCACCATTTTTAGGGTATAGGATCCCAGGTTTTTGTAGAAGTACTGTGTACCTATACAACACAGTCAGTTTTTTAAATGACATACTTTTGTAGTGTTCTGAAAAGCACTTTTGACTAATTGTAATACATAATAATAGCAATAAGTAATAAATGCTACCAAGCGGTTAATGCATTTCCTTAGACAGTGAAATTTAACAGAGTTCAAATGGAAGAAAACCCAAGCTTGCACAGTTTGCAAGCACATAGCTAAACAGTTAAAGAGTAGAACTTAGCAGTAGAGTAACACACCTGAAGAACTAGGTACAACACAACAAATGCAGCCACAACCAAGTAACCACAAGGTGTATATACTTACACAATAGCATTTACTCCTCTGCAGTAGCGTTCCCACATACTTCGGAATCGTGGCTGTCCTCCTATATCCCAGATCTTTTTTAAGAGACAAAATGGAGAATTATGTCTGGAGGCTGAATACAAAATTGCAACGACTGAACTTGATGTTATACAAGTCACAAAGGAAGCTATGTGGACCAAAAAACTGAAAGCATTTTGTCAGCCAGGAGGAGTAACAAAGCAGGTTTTCCACTAATATTGTTTTTACTGCAATATGAAATTTGTTGTGGGAGATGCTTACATCTGTAGAACGAATGACCCAAGTAACACAAATAGAGGACTAATCCCTAATCACAGTTACAGTGACAAAACCTGATACAGGCAGCGACCTTTTTGAGTGTGTTCAATTGATGCACAACCACCGACGCAGGTTTGTTTTGGACCTGGAGGCAGAAAGGGGCGGGCTTATGCGGGCTCCATCAACGCATGGGACAGCCAGGAACGCAACCCCCACGCAAATAGGGGGTTACCTGCATATGCAATCAGCACTCCTATGCAGCATGAACAGCAGCAGCCGGTTTCAATGCTCTTTCTCTTTGTGGGCAGTTTGAACAAGGTACAGCAGAGCTCCAAACCTTGCCACTCTGCTTTCCACCAAAATGTCCACTGATGTGCTGAAAAGCTGCCCCACCTGCCCGTGAACCCTGAAGCATGCATCTTGCAGGCCCCACCTTAAGGAACAACTGGACTGATGGGGGTTCTGCATGTTCCCATTAACACTTTCCCAGTAACTGTATGTCAGGGCAGCCAGGTCCTGTTAAACACAGAAGTAAGACTGCACACTTAATCACCCAAGTTGCAGTAACCCATTGCCTGATTTCCTCCAACTACCCTAAAACGCATATAATCCTAAAAAATAGCTATCCTTCAATACTAGATATGGGGAACCTATGGCCCTCTGTATGTTGCTGACCACCACTGGCCATAGTGGCTGAGGCTGATAGGAGCTGAGAGCCCTACACAATTATCTGGAGGGCTGCAAGTGCTGCATCCCTGCTTTATAATGTAATAATGACAGCAGCATCGGGGGGGAGGGTGTCAACCAAGCTTTGTGCCCTATGGCACAGTTGTGTCGGTAGCCTTTTAAAAGTTATCAATTGCTTACAGCCGACTATAGGAAGCTAGGATTCATATAAGGTAAAGGTAAAGGGACCCCTGACCATTAGGTCCAGTCGTGGCTGACTCTGGGGTTGCGGCACTCATCTCGCTTTACTGGCCAAGGGAGCCGGAGTACAGCTTCCGGGTCATGTGGCCAGCATGACTAAGCCGCTTCTGGCGAACCAGAGCAGCGCACGGAAACGCCGTTTACCTTCCCGCTGGAGCGGTACCTATTTATCTACTTGCACTTTGACGTGCTTTCGAACTGCTAGGTTGGCAGGAGCAGGGACTGAGCAACGGCAGCTCACCCCGTCGTGGGGATTCGAACCGCCAACCTTCTGATCAGCAAGTCCTAGGCTCTGTGGTTTAACCCACAGCGCCACCCACGTCCCAGGATTCATATAAAACAGCGTAAATAACTTGCAAGCTCGAAACAGCATCAAGTGTTGCACACAGTGCCCTCTATTACAAAGTTTGAGCCCAGTAGACAATATTAATAGGATGATGGGTACGAGAAGCAGTCAGGGACTGAATGGGTGGGAGAATGGAAAGGTTTTATGCCCCCCCCCCAGGCTTGAACTGGTCTCCTTTCATCTGCTTCCTGAGAAGTGGTTAGCAGAACAATGTATTTGCCTTCATAAACTAGAAAAACATACCTTTATTGTGACATTACCCTTGGTAACTTTCCGCATGTTGAAGCCCACTGTAGGAATCATATCCTCACTGAACTGACCTGACTGAAGAGAGGAAAGAGCACAGTCATTAGTAGGGTCCAGCAGAGGATCTCTCAGGCAGCTTAATTAGCTGTGCTAAACATGTGCCTACATGTTTTCCCACTGATGCAAGAATCATGGTTGCAGTGCCATAGAAAATTAATTATGTAGGAGAGCTCTAACCAAGATTTCATGCTTCTTTCCAACATCCTTTTCAGAATGAACAAGTTTGCAGTTGAGACAGTCAGTGAACAAAGATCACATGAGAGGCCATGAGCATCATCAACAGAGGGGAGGAAGGAAGGAGTAAGTCAGCATATGCTGAATCACATACAATGACCCCAAAGGGCCTCCAGATTTATGAAGGTAGCATAGGAAGAGTTCTCAAGCTTCTTAGCACTACCTGCAAGTTAAGCATGCCACTCCCAAAAACAATGTTCCTGCAATCACATTAAGAAACTATTAGTCAACTTGGACAGAATGTCTCATCTTTTTCAAGCAGGTTATCTACCAGAAAAACAGTACTCTCAACTCCTTGGTGTGACAGGATAGTATCTGGAAGAACCTGAACAACGTATGCACATCATGGGAAGCTATACTAGCATCAAATTGCATAATTTCTAAGTATTAAACTTGAAAGACTACTCTGGGATGTGTCTGAGCCTGAAGAATCTGGGGAATATTTTTTCAAGGTAAGGTTTACTGTGCTGCAGATGGATTACTGCAGACTACGGCTGAGCAACAATGCTGGAGTAGGTTCAGATACCATGAGCTGTGTTTAACTCAACCCCAACACACACATAAAACTCACCTGCAATAGACTACTTAGGCAAAGCCCTGTATATATTATTCTCCCTTCAAGTTGCCTGCTCTTTTGAGACTAAAGAATACAAAGCAAGGCTATCACCAAGCTCTTTGGCCATGAGTCTGGTATAATATACAGGAAAGGCCTGATCCAGTCAGTGCATTTCAAGTCCAGTCTTGATGTTACACTTAACACATTATTTTGTAAAATTGTGACTGGTATGATTAGCTGCCACTCATCACTTCAGTTGTAGATTGTATGTTCTATATAGACAGATGTATTTAAAAGCCATTCTACAGTGAGGCAATGGGCCTTATCCCACATGAGGCCTCGGTAGCACCGCTAAAGCCATTTGTAAGTTTTTGCCCTTACCACTCAATGAACACTTGAAGTCCTGCACTGTGCTGTTTTAGAGCTTTCCCACCAATTTTATATTACTTACTGAAACACAGCTTGCTGTTTTTACAAACACATCAAAGTAGTGAAGATTATACTGTGATCACAATGCATTGAACATGTCCCTGTACCTTAAAAAAGCAAAGTAGATCCACACAAAGAGTTTGCATTGATTCTATCAATTTGCTGAACTACAAGCAAGTACTGTTTAATTGTTTTTAATTGATAAATGTTTTAACAACCCTCTGCTCTTGTGTGACTGGCTATGGATAAATACCTTGTTTTAATTCAATCCAAGTGACAACACTTGGAGAGAGACGCACATAGATTGTTTTCTTCAAGTGTATCTTAGTATACCATCACTAGGAAAGGAGAACATCAGATCTACGAAACACAAAGACGCATTGCAGGTTTCTTCAGTTTCAAAGCCAATATTATTAAGCACAACCACAGAAAGACAAATGTTAGGTAGGTGCCTGTTCTGCAGTCAAACCGCTTAGCTAAACACCTGCCACAAGTGAAACTGCATTGTCCTAAACTATCACATGGGGGGGGGGGATAAATATCCAAGGTGAAAAGCAGAAGATAGACTTCAAGTGATCCATGTCACAAATGAACATGAGCACCACATGAAGACTACTGAGGGCCACCCTCAAGAACAGTGTGTGATGCTGCAAGGAGGACTACTGATGGAAATTATACTCCTCCCTATCATGCAAATGGAAGTATCTTCTGCTCACACTAGTGACCTTTTGATCAGCTGGCAGTATATTGTTGTATAAGCTTTAGCCAGTAGCTTTCACAAGAAAAGCCAGAAATGTTATGTTATCTTCACTGTCAAGCTCTAAACTAGGGGTAGGTATTGCCCTCTATATGTTGTAGACTACACTACAATTCTAATCCCTTACCATAGCTCATGTTGTATGGAACTGTAGCCTACAACATCTGGAGGGCACAACATTGCCTACTCCTGCTCTAAAGTGTGTGTGTGTGTGTGCGCGCGCGTGCGTGCGCGTGAGACAGAATTACAGTGGTACCTCGGGTTACGAACTTAATTTGTTCCGCAGGTCCATTCTTAACCCAAATCCATTCTTAACCTGAGGCGCACTTTCGCTAATGGGGCCTCCCGCAGCCACCGGCACGCAATTTCCATTCTCATCCTGGGGCAAAGTTTGTAACCCAAGGTACTACTTCCGGGTTAGTGGAGTTTGTAACCCAAAGTGTTTGTAACCCGAGGTACCAATGTACAGTGGTACCTCGGGTTAAGTACTTAATTCGTTCTGGAGGTCCGTTCTTAACCTGAAACTGTTCTTAACCTGAAGCACCACTTTAGCTAATGGGGCCTTCTGCTGCTGCTGCACTGCTGGAGCACGATTTCTGTTCTCATCCTGAAGCAAAGTTCTTAACCTGAAGCACTATTTCTGGGTTAGCGGAGTCTGTAACCTGAAGCATATGTAACCTGAAGTGTATGTAACCTGAGGTACCACTGTATTTCTTTCCCGACTACAACCCACTTGGCAGTGCACTTGCAAAATGTGCTCAGCTCAGGTGACCCTTTAAACAGGTGATCCATTAACCAGAAACCTCCTGTACTACAGGAGTGGAAAAAGCTTAAAGTTGGCAGGCAAAGCAGTGAAGTCCAATGTGATCCTACTTCAACTTATATATAGTGTCACCAAATAAAGCAATCCTACAGGTAAGAACTAATGCTAAGGCCTGGAAACAATTATAAGAACAGGACTGGCAAGAATTAAGATGCCCAAATTTTACACTTATCAGTCTCTATTCTGCCATGGAGGGGGGGAACACTGGGCATTTCTTTCCATTCCCTATTCTACTTTGCTAGCTTCTCCTTTGTGCTCTTAGTTTACAGCGTTACCACTTCCTCAGTTTAACCGAACGAAATAAAAGTCAAAGTGATCATGAGTCTGTAATCCTACTCGTGACTAGGGAATCACCTGACCGTTTAGAAGCAGGCAGCTAGAGACCTATAATCTCCGAGTTACTGGAAAATATACTCATGAACGCATTTTAAAACTGATGCTTCAAAGGAAGATTACAGCCAGGAGGTAACCTGAAACAACACTCATTAGATTCAGTGCTCCTTACACAGCTTTGTTATTTAGTGTGATCCTATTTTATATGACCACGAAATTAAGGTTAAGTAAGGCTAAAGATACACACACTACTACAATGATTTTGTAAACTTTTTGTTCACCTACCAGTTAACTTACTACTGCAAAATTTTATGCGGTAAAAATTATCTATGATACTAATTTTCTGAGTATTAAAAACTGAGAATCCTACACTTCTATACGTTTACAGAATTATGGTGCAGTCCTGAGTGCAGAACACTAAATGCTTATTAAGAATGAGGTTAGCCCAAGTAAGTTTCCTATTACTGTATATAAAACCTCAGATTTAATAGTGATCCAGCTCCTCCCAAATTCTACAGTAAAACAGATATGAGTCTATCAAGTTTAAATCAAAGATGGACAAGCCAAGTACTTCTATGGTTTAAGTTTCTAAAATGATACATCAGGAATTTAAAATGAAGGTATTCACTTGAGATTCCTAGTTTTATATATATCAGTGCAAAATGATTAATTCCCAGAATATACAAGAGCCAACTTCATTTGTATTGCAAAATGAAACAAGTTAATTACATTGACTAGCTGGGGACAGAATGCTGGTAGATCAGTCTACTTTGGCATATTGGACTTTATATGGCAAAATGGGAATATTTTTATCTACAAAAGTAGGATTGACTGTACTTTGGGATATATCCAATGCCACACACATCAAGTTCCAATTGCCCAGTGAGATTCTCTCTTCTTCTCCCCTCTTCTTCCAACCCTCTGGAGCAGATTCTGAGGGGTTGCAGGAGAAAGGAGAGAGGAAAGCTCCACTGAGCAAGCAGAAGTCTGCTGCGCTAGCAGAGCAAGTGTTGGATACACCCTTTCAAGCTCATGACAAAGCAGATTACTATTCCAAAGTATGTTAAACAAAACATACCAGTTTTGGAAGTATCAGAAGGAATACAGTCATTTCCATGTGCGATGGACTTGCTCAACTCCAAATAATTTTGCAATGAAACATTTGGAACTGAGGTCATTAACAGTGTTGGTGCTGAGCTTTAAAGCCCTAAATGGCCTTGGTTCAGTATACCTGAAGGAGCGTCTCCACCCCCATCTTTCTATCTGGACACTGAGGTCCAGCACCGAGGGCCTTCTGGCGGTTCCCTCACTGCGAGAAGCCAAGTTACAGGGAACCAAGCAGAGGGCCTTCTTGGTGGTGGCACCCACCCTGTGGAACGCCCTCCCACCAGATGTCAAAGAGAACAACAACTACCAGACTTTTAGAAGACATCTGAAGGCAGCCCTGCTTAGGGAAGCTTTTAATGTTTGATGGATTACTGTATTTTAATATTTATTTGGAAGCCGCCCAGAGTGACTGGGGAAGTCCAGCCAGATGAGCAGGGTATTATTTATTTATTTATTTTTATTACAGCATAAAATAACTTTTAGATCCATTGTAATTGTTAAAATGTGCAAAAGATGTGCAAATAAATGCTGCCAGAATATGCATGTAAAGCACTGGAAACTGCCGACAGAGCAAAGCAGAAGAACAAGTTATACGAGTGTACCATGATGTCAAAGTTAGCAGGTTGCATAAGAGTAGCAGAGAAGAGAATCATCCTTATGCATCTAAAATGCCTCCCTAAAATACTGTACTGTGATTATCTGTCAAAAAGCAGCAATAGGTGGAACATTACAGAGCAAGAACTCCTCCATGAAAAAGGTGAGGCCCTATGCCCTCACTTCCAGCATCTCTTTCAAGTACTGAGGACGTACATATGGGAGGTGCCCTCGTGTTCAGAAGGCTGCCCCATAGTTACCAAAGCACAGAGGACAGGCACCAAACCCTTGTTCCAAATGAACTCTATCAGTGCTGATGAATGGTATAATAGATTGTCACCACCATTTAAAAACCAAGCAGAAAAGCCAGTGTTTAAGAGAACTTCCAGGCTATGCACCTTGTCCTTTAGGAGGGAGAGGGCAACCCCAGGGCAGGCAAACATCTGACTAAGAAACCCAAGGTTAGCAATTTAAACTCTTAACCTTGAACTTGCTTGTGCATGGATGTGGGCTGAATGAAGGCTAGCATCTTTTCAAAAACTGAGCCCACTGTTTCTGGATTTGATGAAAATGGAAGATGGGCAACATCAACATAACAATGACATCACATGCTTAGACATCTTTTCCCATAGATGTGTACAGGTGTTGCAAGCATATGATAAAACTTTGCAGCACCTCCATCAGGTAGGGCGGAACCAATGGCAAGTAGTGCCCTCAGTTCCCATGTCTATCAAGTTATCCAAAAGGATCTGATGACCTCACTATATCAAGCATCCCTGAGAGGTCCAGAAGAATGAATGGTTATAGTGCTTCTGTCCAATTCAGATGGAAGTTATTGACCAAGGCCACCACAGTAGGTCACTGCCCGACGGTACACGAAGCAGCCATTTTGCTGAAGCTAAGTAAATTTCTGTTTCCAAAGTGCCCAGGTAGGAAACTGCCTGGGAATGCAATGTATGACACCTTGCATGCCATGATGCAAGCAGGGTGGGAGATAAATTTACTAAACAAAATATATCAACACAGGAATTATATTATTGGTTTGTCTAGAGCCAGTCGCCAAAATATTAGCTTCAGTATGTTCTGCAGAATCAAAGTTAGGATTGCTTTGAAAAGCAAGTTATTGCACCCTGCTTGCTAGACATCTTTCATTACCCAAGCAGTCTTTCAGCTATGATAGCCATTTAACAAGTAACTATAACCCTACAACACGTGTGGTGCTGCTTCTTTAATGCTCAGCTCTCTCCACAGCATCACCAAATCTGTATGCCAGACAACTTGCAGAAACATTAACATTTATTTAGCACAAGTTCAGCATACACTGACAGACCTACAATTTTAAGATCGTGAGAAATTTTAGTCTCTGAATCTTACATGAGAAATGCTTATTCTTTTCTCATATGCATGTACCTACTCGACCCAAGATTTACAGTGCTTACAAGCCATAATTGTAAACTTCTACGTGCACCATACTGCACCCTTCTTCCAGGGAGATCTGGGTGGCAGAAAGTTTTCTTGTGAAATGACTCAAGCAAAAAGACTGACAACTTTCCCAAGACCACCAGGGGCTCAACAGAGATTTTAACACTGGCAGCGTAAGAAACACATTAAATCAATAAACAGTGCAAAACAATCATTAAAATGACTGGCCAATCAAAATAGCTTCAATCAGCTGTGTTGGCCAGTCAGCATAAAAAGGTCTTCCAAGAATTGTCACTACACTACAGAACCATAGTATCCCTATATATTATTCACTAAAACCATGCAAATGCATACCTAACTATCAGTCCATGTAAAGAATATGGTACTTGTCAGATCATAGTTTGCTGTGCTCAAACTGAAAGCAGTTAGTACACACATTTTGCTTAACCCTCAAGTTAGTTTAGGGTAGTCCGGGGAACCACCATCTAGAGCAGTGGTTCTCAACCTTGGGTCCCCAGATGTTTTTGGCCTACAACTCCCATGATCCCTAGCTTACAGGACCAGTGGTTAGGGATGATGGGAATTGTAGTCTCAAAACATCTGGGGACCCAAGGTTAAGAAAGGCTGATCTAGAGTGATAACCCCTGGACAGATGTTGCACCTAAAGTCTCATCCAGTAGAACAAGTTTCTGAAAGTTGTCCTATTGTTAGGCTACTGTAGTGTGTGTGTGTGTGTGTGTGTGTAAGTGTAAGTAAATACATATGTATGGCATTTATACACTGCTTAAACCTAAGCATTTCTAAGTAGTATGCATAAAAACAAACCATAGAGAATAACACAATAAAAATTCATTGTAAAACTGGACAAAAACCAAACACATGATCTAAACTTGGGAGGTAAAAAATCTTTTCACAGTTCTAGAAACATACATCCATAGCTTCCCACTACATTTGGAACATTCCAGTTTTCCACACCGACTATTGCTAGTATCAGAACAAAGATTAATGCTGTTGCAATATTAAATTATGCAACAACAAGCATGTAATGAAGTATCCAAAAGAAGAAATGTTGCTTTAATGAGTGACTTCCACTACTCTCAGAGCACCATATATAGCAGATTGCAACACCACCACACCCTAATCCCAAACAGTCCAGCAGTAATAGACTCCTGGCAGATGCATGTGGCCAAATAATCAGAGTTCGAAATTAGCAGGGCGCCAGACACATTTTGCCCCTAAAGATTCTCCATTTGTGAGTACCTCAAAAAGTCTAGGTGCTATTTTTTGCAGCTAGCTAACACCCAAAGATTACTGAAATGTACGTGCTTTGAAGCCTCGAAGTATATGCTAAAGATAGACAATATGTTATGGAGTTTAACCATAAAGAGTACAGTGTTTTGAAAACTGAAGTATGGTACCAATATTTTTATTGTAAACACCAAATTAAACATGTATTAACAATTTCTGATAAAATGTGATATTAATAATATGTCTCTTATATGAATTGCATATTAGTTCATGCTTATAAAAATAATAAAAGTGTTGCTGCTCCCCACCCACCATGGCGACTAGACCTTCTGTTTTGGCACCCCCAACCCAGGTCCCAGAAGCCATTTGGCTCCTAGCTTTTCTATCCCAGTTTCTAACACTGCAAATAATACTTCCCTCCAGCTCTGTAGTCCCAAGGCTACTAGCAGTTGGCGCCAAGTGTTCACTCTGGGAGTGGAAAAGCAAGTTGTAGTGCAAAAAAGTTGTGAAGTATAAACAGCGACATCTGTTTTTTTAAAGATTGTAATTTCTTACATAAAGGTCTCTGCAACACTGTCCCAAGTAGGACTTGAGGGTAAGGATCAAGAAGCCATTTTACTCAACTGGATTCCCCGGCACAATGCAGGAGTGTTCAATGATGCGCACACACTGGTGTCGACATGGCTTTGCAATGTCCTCCCCTCCCCCATTTTATTCTCATAACCACCCTGTGAAGTAAGATAAGGCAGTGGCTGGCCCAAGTTTAGCCAGCAAGCCTCATGGCAGAATGGGCATTTAATGCTGGGCCTCTCCGGGTCTAGCAGGACCCTGATCACCTACACCTACACCTACACCTACACCTACAACACCTCGAATTCTGACACAGTGATCTGTTTGGAGACCTATAGAGATGTTGTGGTGCTATTTCATGTCCCTGTCTTTTCAGATGTGGGAGTGATATTCAAACATGCACTTGGTTCTTTAGAACCTGGATGCCTTCATTTATAAAAAGGCAAGCAGGATTATTGCATTCACAGTCGTAACATTATTTCAATTTTAATGCGGCTCTTTCTGCTCACTGATAGCCTGTCAGAGTGACCATGCCCCGCTGACAGGAGATTTTAAACTAAAGCAAGCACAAAAAGCATGGCTGCTGATTAACACATGTTGCTTACAAAGCCAGGAGCGAGGTTGAGGAGCCAGGTCAGCTGACTGACGGAGGCATTAACACACCAGTGCTTGATTTCAGCATTCATGAAAAGCTACACCACATAAACATCTTGCACTAGAGTCATCAATCCCCATCAGAAGTGGCCAATTAGACAAGGGTCTCCTACAATAAGCTGCACAACCTTTCACTATGGTCTTGTCACTCTTGGAAGCCTGAACTTTCACTTGTTTTTTTTTCACAGCAGCATAGAATTGTACAGCTGGAAGGTATCCCAGGGGTCATCTAGTCGCAACACTTGCAAAGCTGGAATCTCAACAAAACATCAATCAAACCTCTGCTTAAAAATCTCCTAAGGAAGGAGAGTCTATCACCTCTTGTGCGAGTCTGTTCCACTGTCAAACAGCTCTTACCATCAGAAAGTTCTTCCTGTTTAGTCAAAATCTCATTATTTGTAACTTGAATCCATTGGATCCTACCCTCCTCTGCGGCAGGAGAAAACAAGCTTGCTCCATCTTCTATGTGAAAGCCCTTGAGATATTGGAAGATGGCTAGCCTATCTCCTCTCAGACTCTTCTCATTCAGGCTAAACTCCCTCATAAGGCTTGTTTTCCAGACCCTGCCATGTGAGAATCCCTTGCAGATGACTGTAGTGCCTGGTGACAGGCAGTCAGGTCATGTACGCATAGCAGTGACCAGAGGGGGAATGACAGCTGGAAGGAGTGCAGAAAGAAGAAATATCATGGTGCATCTGCAGCAGCACAGCTGGACACCATCTACTCTAGCTGCAATAAAACATGTCTCTCCTGCATCAGTCTCTACAGCCACAGCGGGCGCTGCAACCTTCCAGCAGCTTAACCTCACCCCCAAAAGGTGCATTCCTCCATTGTCTCCCAAGACAGACAGACGCCAACCAGTGTTACATCTGAACCCTAAACTTCAACCACAATTAGTGGAAACAATCTAGCTCCACAGACAATGCCTTGATGTTGGCTTGTTTCCGTTAACTATAGTTAGCATAACTATAGCTTGTCCAGGTTTGGATGGCACAGCAAGCTGTGGTTAGTTTGAAAATGTAAGCAAAAGCTTTCATATCCCTTCTCATGGTTGTGCCAGAGAAGGGGTTGGAAGGAGAAATGTGAAGGCCACAGAAGGCAGAATCAGAATTCAAAATGACTGTAACAGATTGGAGAACTCGGCCCAAACTAACAAAATGAATTTCAATAGGGACAAATATAAGGAAAAACCAGATGCACAAATATAGGATGGGGGACACCTGGCTTACTAGAAGTACATGTGAAAAGGATCTAGGGGTCTTGGTGGACCACAAGCTTAACATGAGTCAACAGTGTGATGCAGCAGCAAAAAAAAGCTAACGCTATTCCAGAAGTATAGTGTCCAGATCAAGGGAAGTAACAGTATTACTCTATTCTGCCTTGATCAGACCACTTGGAGCAGTGTGTCCAATTCTGGGCACCATAATTTAAGAAGGATGTTGACAAGCTGAAACATATGCAGAGTAGGGCAACCAAGATCATCAAGGGTCTGGAAACTAAGCCTTATGAGGAACCCTTGAAGGAGCTGGTTATGTTTAGCCTGGAAAAGAGAGGAGATATGATAGCCATCTTCAAATATCTTAAGGGCTGTCACATGGAAAAGTAAGCATGCTTGTTTTCTCCTGCTCTGGAGGGTAGGACTCAAGCCAATAGCTTCATGTTACAAGAAAGGAGATTCTGACTAAACATTCGGAAAAACTTTCTGACATTAAGAGCTGTTCAGCAGTGGAACAGACTCCCACAAAAAGTGGTGGACTCTACTTCCTTGGAGGTTTTTAAACAGAGGTTGGTCGGCCATCTGTCATGGATGCTTTAGCTGAGATTCCTGCATTGCAGGGGGTTGGACTAGATGACCTTGGGTACCTTCCAACTATTAAGATTTTATAAGGCTTCTGAGGCTTATCCCTGTAACACAAAGTCATGGTTTAGTGTTACATCATAACAAAACCAGTACAGTGGTACCTCAGGTTACAGATGCTTCAGGTTACAGACTCCGCTAACCCAGAAATAGTACCTCGGGTTAAGAACTTTGCTTCAGGAGGAGAACAGAAATTGTGCTCCGGCGGTGCAGCGGCAGCAGGAGGCCCCATCAGCTAAAGTGGTGCTTCAGGTTAAGAACGGACCTCCAGAACGAATTAAGTACTTAACCTGAGGTACCACGGTATCTTCTTAGATACGCTAGTCAATCTGTATATGTCTCACCATGAAGTCAATAGTGACCCAAGTATTAATTGTCTGGTAAGTAGCAGATACAAAAACTGAATATCACAAGCTCCAGGTTGGGGGAAAAGACCCTCACCAGGGTTGCATGTGGCAAGCTACTCGGGGAAGCCAAGAGAAGCGGCAACTTCCCCCTCTTTGAAGCAAAGATGTCACTATAATCACCAAGGGTGCATACAGGCAGACAGGACGGTTTTTATTTTATTGCCCAAGAGATTTCTGGAGGCATTTGTGTGTTACACAGACAGCTGAAACCTGCAGCAGCAAGTCTACAGTGTCATTGCTACTTGTGACACAGCAGGAGGAGGTATCTTGCTTCTACAAGAGCCACGTCATTACTTCCCTCATCACTTCTATTTCCATCCACAACTGCAGCATGTTCCGTCGTGCGTAAGATATCCAGGGGCATTTAAAGCAGAGAAATACCTCTCCTCTCCAAAGGCTTGTCACAGCATTTTCGATGCCAGGCTTCTCAATGCTAATCCTACAAACATCGAGTTGGGCAATTCCCCAAATGCCAAAAACTAACACAGGGTTCCACAGTAGCCAGTCAACTACTACCAAGGATATTCAGAAAAGGTTAGGAGAGCAGATACAGCTCTGCTTTCTCTTACCTATTTTAAAATCAGTATGCTGATATTCATAGACTGGTATTAGCTTGTGTTTTTAAAAATGCACCCCAAGTTTGCTAAATCCCAAGTTTTTGCTTAGCAATTGAAGATTACTTCAGCAATCTTAAATATTTGGAGTTCAGATAAAGGAGGTTGCAATCACAAAGAAGCCAGACTTCACCCTCATTAGACCACCGTTCATGAGTCATGCTATTATTACATCTGTCCAGAAAACAAGTAATGATCCAGTTTGGCCGATGACTGGATAAGAGCCTACATCAAGCAATGACCAGCCTTTCTCCTAGAATTGAAAGATCTAGGAATCCAACTCTCAAAACATTTAGTCCCAGTATGGAAGCATTTAGGCTATCTTAGCTCCCTTGAAGTTGCTCAGGCAGGCACTTTGAATGATAATGCCCAGCTGAAAGTACTTTTTTTTAAAAAAGTTGTAATATATTCCCAGCCCCCACACACTATCTTACTTTTACAGTGAAATCCTAAACATGCACACTCAGACACAAGCCCCGTTGAATTCAATGAAACTTACCCACATGTAAGCTTGTAAAAGACTGCAGCCTTTAGTCATTTACCGTATTTTTCGCTCTATAGAACGCACCCAACCATAAGACGCACCTAGTTTTAGAGTGGGAGAACAAGAAAAAAAATATTCTCTCCCTCTCTGCGCAGCGCCCCTTCAGCGAAGTGGCAGGAGAAACGGAGCCCCTTCCTGCGCAGAGAGGGAAAGCTGTGCAGCGCCTCTCCAGTGAAGCGAAGCCAGAAGAGCAAGAGGGATATTGCTCTCCTGGCTTCAGCGAAAGCAACACGAAGCCTCAGGAGCGCAGCGGGAGCTCTGACTCCTCTTGCTCTCCTGGCTTCAGCGAAAGCACTCTGGAGGCTTCGCGTTGCTTTCGCTGAAGCCATGGAGCCTGCATTCGCTCCATAAGACGCACACACATTTCCCCTTACTTTTTAGGAGGGGGAAAGTGCGTCTTATAGAGCGAAAAATACGGTAAATTAAAGAGAATCAGCTTCCTTCCCTACTCAAGCTTCACATGCCACACAAACATCCCTGACCTTATTATTAATTGAATAATAATAATGCAGGTGGTTAATATGTTGTTCAAGTTCTGATAACATTAGTCAAGTCTTTCCTATTAGCCATTTTTATATTTACCTTATTTTTCGCTCTATAAGACGCACCAGACCACAAGACGCACCTAGTTTTTGGAGGAGGAAAACAAGAAAAAATAATATTCTGAATCTCAGAAGCCAGAACAGCAAGCGGGATCACTGCGCAGCGATCCCTCTTGCTGTTCTGGCTTCTGGGATAGCTGCGCAGCCTGTATTCACTCCATAAGACGCACACACATTTCCCCTTACTTTTTTGGAGGGGAAAAAGTGAGTCTTATAGAGCAAAAAATATGGTAACTGAAATCCTTACTACCAGACTACCCATATATAACTGAGCTCTTAGCCTGGCAAGTTATTACCCTTCAATATTTTATACTTACCTTGGAAGGATAGGGAACTTTACTCTTGGCCAGGCTTCCTTAAACTTGGCCCTCCGGATGTTTTGAGACAACAATTCCCATCATCCCTGACCACTGGTCCTGCTAGCTAGGGATCATGGGAGTTGTAGGCAATAGATCCCCAATACCAAGGTGAAGCACAGTGGATTGTATGCACCCAAGTTTTACTCAGGGTAGAGTCACTGAAATGAGCAGACCTAAGTTAGTCATTCTTTTAATGGGTCTGCGGTATGACTTATGTTCAACCCTGTATTTTTTTAGGTGCTTATCAGTTGCAATCATCACAGAATAAAGATCCCTATCATCACTTGCCTACAGTCCAAGTGACAGAAACACAAACTATTGAAGTTTAATACTGAAGCCGACAAAGCTCTTTTATTTCACGCAAGAACAAGTTTGCAAGAATACATATTTAATAGATTTCACCCAGTTAAGTCTAGAGATGTGTTAGATCCCAACCAAGCAGTAAGGTACACAATTTCAATTCAAAGAACCAATCCTTCCCCCACCCCTTCCACTGAATGGTACTTTTCTTTAACAGGCTGAACTATTAAATTAATTTAAATTATTTACTTTTTAAATGCAAAAGGACATTACTTCTACATAAGAAATTGACACTCCTTTAAATTGGGCTGGAAAGATATCCAGTTCTTTTGTCATCTAGGAACCTCGACTTCCAACAGTGACTTCTATGATTTGGCAAGAGGGTATGATTCCCAGTATTCAACACATACCTGGCTTATTTTATCCCTGTTTAAGTTGTAATATGGCATCACTCTTTTAGTGGGTGAAAAAGAAGCAACTCTCTAGTTTTAAATATTTTATCAACCTTAGTTCAGTTTATAGGAAGAGGAACAGTAAAATTTTCCATAGGATCTGCTATACATTCAACCAGGTTCCCTTTCTGCGATTTGCATTGCCAGTAAGAACAAAAAAGTTCTGCTTAAAGATATATCATCCAATGCTTTTAACAAATTCCACCACATGTGCCAAGTTAAAGCTAGCTTCCAATTTACCTGAAAGGTTTGGATAAAATATTTGTTTATGTTGTAGATCTAAATACTACCTTTAAAGGAAGTCATTGTATCTGAAGGGTGGCCAACCTGCAGTCCGCCAGATGTTGCAGTTGTCATGCAGCAACATCTGGAGGGTCACAGGTTCCCCAGCCCTAGCACCGAGCAAGCAGCTACCAAGCAAGCACTCTACCAACATCGCCCTTTTGCCTCGCCATTCTAATTCCATAATTCGTTCATTCAAAGTCAACAACATAGCAGATGTGCCCTGTAGTCCTGAAAACAAGCAATGCAAGGCAGTCAAGGACTGATATTAAAGAAATGATGCATCAACCTCTTGGCCATATTTTGTGCATTTAGTGTTTGTTTTTGAATTATGAAGTTTTCAGGGCAAGCACGCCCTTTGGCAGCACTCAAGCACAAGAACACACATATTGTCTTTTGGGTGATGGTTCAGCACTTGCTTAAACTATCCCTATTCACAAAGCTTTGTTTTGTTTTTATTTATTTGCTAACTGCCCCCCAAGAGGACAGTATGGGTTGATTTCAACCTTATGTGGTCTGCTTCCCTCCAGCACCGCCTAAGAACCCCCATGATCCATCAAGAAGTATAAAAATGTACAAAGCAAGCATGCATACATAGGAACTCGCATCAAGGCTATGATCTGTGCTAAGTGTTCCAAGTATGAACATAGTCTTAGTTGGTAGGCAAAAATTCACTAGTCCAGTATTATTTGCAATAATCTCAGTAGCTGATCTACCATAAATCAGGTACAGGTCTGGCAGTAGACCAAGACTTAAATACACCCAGTTCCTAGGCACTGCTGCACACACCTATCCCCAGTGGATAAGGAGAACATGGGTATGGCCATCTTCTGATTATATTGTTTATCTCAGCTAAGGAGAGAGATATCCCAATGCAGCTGCTGAACCTGGGAGCTTTAGAATACAGTGGTACCTTGGTTTAAGAACACCCCTGTTTATGAACTATTCGGTTTACAAACTCCGCAAAACCGGAAGTAGTGTTCCGGTTTGCAAACTTTACCTCGGTCTAAGAATGGAATCCGAATGGTGGAAAGGCACCGGTGGCAGGAGGCCTCATAGGGAAAGCGCGCCTCGGTTTAAGAACAGTTTCAGTTTAAGAAAGGACTTCCGGAACGAATTAAGTTCATAAACAGAGGTATGACTGTATTTAGAAGTCATCTCAAATGAGCCCATCACTATTATGGAGCATATGTCTACCACACAATGATGTTCTTTGAACTTAATGAACACAAAGCTTAAGTGCAAAATGTTGTTGCTGTTGTTTATATACTGCCCTTTATCAAAAGATCTCAGGCTGGTTCACAAGAAGATATTTAAATCATTCTAGTTGCTTAGAAGTATTTACAGATGCAATCTTGTCAAGACTCAGACTCAAGACGTTTCCATGAAAAAATTGAAAAAATGCTAGGACTACTTCATCTATAGACCTAACCCCTACTAATTTGGGAATAAGCCCTACTAACTTCAACAGAACTCATTTCCAAGCAAACATGATAAGGATCCCACTCTTAATTTTCCAAACTATTCCTTGCTCACTCTTTGTCATAAGCACTACTGTTAGAAAAGAAAAATGTGAGCAGTTTCAGATCTCATTTACAAGATCCCCTCAGAAGTTTCATTACAGTGGTGCCTCGCAAGACAAAATTAATCCGTTCCGCGAGTGTCTTCGTCTAGCGGTTTTTTCGTCTTGCGAAGCAACCCTATTAGCGGCTTAGCGGATTAGCGCTATTAGCGGTTTAGCGGCTATTAAAGGCTTATCGGCTTAGCTGCTAAAAGGCTATTAGCGGCTTAGCGGCGTAGAAAAGGGGGGGGGAGCGAAAAAAAATCTCAAGACTCGCAAGACATTTTCGTCTTGCGAGCAAGCCCATAGGGAAATTCGTCCTGCGAAGCAACTCAAAAACGGAAAACCCTTTCGTCTAGCGGGTTTTCCGTCTTGCGAGGCATTCGTCTTGCGGGGCACCACTGTACTGTGTTTGAGGCAAGGTCTAAGCAACAAACAGGACAAAAATATCTACAAGCAAAGTACATTACATTCCAATGGTTTGCCAAGCCAGTAGACCAGAAAGCATTTCCTAGGCCTGCAAGGAAGCTGTTTTGTTGTCTTTTAGAACCAAATTATGAACTAAATTTATCCAACAAACTGCCACCATTAAAACCTACAGAACTGACAGAAGCAGCTTGCTGTAGCAGTAGACCTACCAAAGCCAAAACGATCTTAAGTGTAGTAAGTAGAGGCCAGTTTGCCCCCCAAAATAAGAGCACTGTTTTAGATTTACTCTAGCAAGACAATGTTGCATGCCCCTGATAAAGGCACAAAACAATCAAGAAAATGTAGCATCTTGTTTGTTGGAAGTGATGCAATCAAGTCATTTAGAAAGACATCATCAAAGCTTTTTATGAGGCAACTTCAGCATAGATAAGCAAGTTAATGGCTAACCCGAGAGGCAAATTCTGCAGCTGAGTCCATTGTGGAAGGTTTCTTGCCCCATCCCAAACAGCAACCTGACCCCACCCTCCTATTGTTAATGCGCCAAGGGGGAAAAGCTACTTTGACCTACCAGGAGAATGAGCTGAATGCAATTCACCCAACTCTGCTCTCCCCAAAGGGCAAACTCAAGACAGAGCGAGCCCCTTTATTCAGAGCAAAGTATTCCAAATGGATTGGTCCCGATTTTACCATAACTATCAATATGTACAGATGGCATAAAGATATATATACACACACCAAAAACCCTGGAAGCGAAAATGATGCTTTACAACTAGAATACAAGTATGAAACGTCAGTTAAAAAGATCAATATTCATCTATAATATGTGCTAATTAAGATACCTTGAGGCAAATAAGTGTTCTTGTGTATCAAGTCTGTTCAGGCTATGCAGTCTAAGTGAGCTTTTTTGCTTATAAGAATAGTGTCAATAAATAAAAAAGAAAGACCTTCTACAGATATCCCTTGCCCTGGTTAATGAAACATAACCCTAATCAGTCATTACAGGGCTCCTAGACTCAATCAAACTCACATGGATTACTTTAAGTACGTGTAGTCATCCAATAAAAGTAGTAACTTACATAAACAATTTAAAAACCATCATCAGGTTTAACTGATGGTAAAATGATACTCCAAAATACAAACAAAAGAAAAAGAAAGGAAAGACTGAAACCTCTGAAGTCTGGGAAAAGAGGTATGTCAACCTGGCACCGAAATGATGTTAATACTGGCATCAAGCAGGCCTCGCTGGGGAGGGCCCTCCATAGACACAGCCAAAAAGACAGTGCCACCACATTCAAAACTTCTTTCAGAGGAAGTACCTGGAGAAGGGCCTCAGATTATATATGTTCAAGTATACCACAAACTGCTTAAGTGTTGCCCTTCAGATGGTTTAAGTCATCTTAGCGAGGTTTTTTTTACCCTTAAAGGTGCCCTAGAAATACCTTCAAACAAAATAGATAACATTTATATTTTAAATGTCTTGGAAGAGCTCAGACATACATAGGGTTTCTGGATAGCCTCCAAATATTGGCTAGGCCCATCCTTACTTAAACTTATGTGGCACCTTAAGACCACTCTTGAGTGCACACTGGTCTTGTATTACTAATCTTGAGCAACACGCCCAACTGTTAACTTCCTCCAGAGAGAGAAAGGCCCAGGAAGTCATCTCCAAACCAAAGCAAAGTCAGGTAAAACCAGGCAGGCCCTTGGTCCTCCCACATCACTTGGCACCTACAAGCACTGGGGAGAGAAAAGTGTTCTCCTTTGGGAAAGTCACACCCACAGAGAGTCAGGATTATAGCAGCTTCAGGGAGAAGAGTTGCAGCTTCTTTTGCCCATCCCAAACAAGGCTTGCTATGCAAAGAGCTTCAGACCTGACTAAGACATGACTGGGCTGGGCAAGGCAGGGTAACACCCACCATTCCCTAGTCCAGCCCTCCTCCAGAACTCCTTTCATCCAAGTTGAGTGTCTGGAGGCAACCAAGTGGGCGAAAGCATCACCTGGCTCAGCCCCACCCCAACCTCCACGGCTCGCCGAGGTCCGGGAAACAGCAGAATTCTAAGTCCCTAACCTAAACTCTTCTCCTGTCCCCTGGCTGTACCGCTGAACACGTGAGCGAGCTGCATGTCTGAACGCCACCCCACCCAGGAAAGAAAGTGGGAAAAGCCCCTTTGCCCTATCCTAAGGAGTTGGCGTGGCCTTTCTCCTCGCATGCTCCCCCAAAGTGCTGGGACTTTTAACCCCCGCACGGGGCAGAACTCAACGGGCTGCAGGAGGCGGAGGGAAAGCCGAGGGCGGGGCCTTTAAAATGACAATTTGGTGTTCCTCTTCTCCCACCCCACCCCCCAAAAAAACACAACCCCACTCTACAACTAGTGGAAAAATTACTGTGCATGCATTTGACTGGGGCCAAGGAGGGGAGGAGCGAGAGCAGCCGCCCATCTCCAGCTCAAGCGGGTATCAAAGGAGAGGCGGGAGGGGGCAAAGTAGGGACACCCCGGGGTGCGGAATCACGCATCTCACCGCGATGACGTTGACGAAGGTGGTCTTCCCCGAGTACTGCAGCCCGACCAGCGTCAGCTCCATCTCCTCCTTCCAGAACAGCGACCGGAACCAGTCCAGCAGCCGAGACAACAGCGCCAGCATGATGGGGGTGGGGGGGTGCAGGTGGCGGCGGCACAGGCAGAGGCAGCAACCAGGACGCTTCTCGTCTCCCTTCCCTCGCCCGCCTCGCCTCCGACGCTCCTTCTCGCGACGGCGCCTCGAGGCCGAATCCGGCGGCTGCTGCTGCTCCCGGTTCTCCTGCTTGCTGCTGCTGCCTCCCGCTCCCCGCGCGACGTGGGTCATATGACGAGACTCGCCTCGGCGCGTCAGGGCAAGAGCGGGCTAGTTCCGGCAGCCGCGCGCCCGGACGGCTCCACAGCGGCCCCTGCCGGCAGAGCGGCGCGGGAGGACCCGGGTAGGAGCGGTATATGTGCGGCTTACAGGCAGGAAAGCGAAGGGGAAGGGAGGAGAAGGGGTGTGGGGGAGGGCACGGGCTGCAACCCTAGTTTTACAATAATATTTATTAAGTTTCATACAAACAGAACACATACTATAAAATCAATAAGACAAAAACAAGAAAAATTTTAAAAAATAAAACAGATATAACAAATAATAACCACAAACACAACCCTAGTTTTAAAGGTCCCTGCTACGCCGCTGTCCTCGACCAGGGAGACACCCGGACTAGTTTTCTCTGACGGCTCGGTCGGGGATTTAAAGCGAAATGATTGCAGGTCGTTTTAAAAGCGTCAGGAAACGCGGCTAATAGCTTTGCTGCCCTTTAGTATGCCGTGGTTTGCTTGTAATCATCTATCCGTTTATTTATACCCCGCCGTTTCCTTACCCGACGGGACTCAGGGCGGCTTACAGCGGGGTGCTGAAAACGAGAGCCGCTGAAAACGTGGGGGGGGGGGGGGAGAGTATTTAAAAACCAATGAAACGTGAATAAAATTAAAACTCTGTGTGTGTGTGTGTGTGTGTACACACACACACACACACACACACACACACACACATATAATTTTTATTTGTTATAAATGATACAAAGTATATGATACAAAGTGTATATAAAATCTATTAAAGGCATACAAATAGTTTCCACTAAAACAGCATGGCACCAGCCCTTTCATGAAAAAGCAGTCAGTTCCCAAAAGCCTGTCAGGAAAATGTATTCACCTGCCAGAAGGGGGACAGCTAGGAGGGAGCCAGTTTAGCATCTCTTATAAATACTAGGGACACGGGTGGCACTGTGGTCTAAACCATTGAGCCTCTTAACAGAGTGAGCTCCCATTGCTCTGCCCCAGCTCCTGCCAACCTAGCAGTTCAAAAGCACAACAGTGCAAGTAGATAAATAGGTATCACTGTGGCAGGAAGGTAAACAGCATTTCTGGGCGCTCTGGTTTTCATTATGGTGTTTCGTTACACCAGAAGCGGTTTAGTCAAGCTGGTCACATGACCCGGAAAGCTGTGTATGGCCAAATGCCGGCTCCCTCAGCCTGAAGCGAGATGAGCACCACATCCCATAGTCGCCTTTGACTGGACTTAACCATCCAGGGGTCCTCTACCTTTTTTATCTTTTTATAAATACTCTTATAAGCTAAATAAAACACCCAAGATTTGAAGAAGTACACAAGTAGGTTTTGATGGGTGGTGCGCAATACATTCTGACATTTGTGTTGTAATGCACATTTGTTTGATGCAAGAAATTTTCTGTCTAGTCCAGTGAAAATTTTGTTTGGGGCCTTAACTGGCAGCTGCGAAGAAGGGTTGGTGTCAGAAATCTCAGTATGCAAAAAGAATAGTTTGCATATTATTTCAATTAGTGGATGCTGGTTTAGAATTATCAGGTAGACGGTGTGATTTGCTGGGGATGGACTAGAAGGGCCAGGAAAAGAAGTAGACCTGGGGAAGGAACAGAAGACCTGAGAGGCAAGCAGAGTGGCTAGGTGGCTGAAGACTTGTTGGAGATAGCTAAAGCACTTGCCTGAGGCTGAAGAGACAAGAGGAGAGCCTGTCTGCAGCGTGAAACAGCTTAAAATGTCAGTCTTTGGTGACTGGTAAGGGTTATCAGAGAAGATTTCCAGGGCAGTACAGCAGGACAACTCTAAATTCAACAGATCAGTAAAGAGTTGGGGGTGGGAATAGATTTTAGCTGCTGGTGTTGGTGAAACTTAACAAGGGTGGAGAAAATAAAAGGGTAAAATAAGCTGTTGGTATTTAAAGAGATAGTAGCAAGTTAACAAAGCTTGCAGACATTTGAAGTTGCAGTACTATTTTAAACCTAGGAAGTTGCCTTAAACTAACTTCATTAATTACAAACCCTGAGTTTAAAACACACTTCTTTAGAAGATGCCCAAAAAGCTCACCACGGTTGCCTTCTGAGCAGTCAAACATAGGATTTCATTATAACATGCCATGACAGATCTCTGTCCTTTGTAAAGTAATTTTTACTGAGATTCTTAAATAAAACATTTCTGTTTTTTTACAATTCCATTTCCAGGGCCAAAGGTTTGCAATTGTTCTGCAGTGTTTTGTTGCACAAACCTCTTGTGTGCAACCCAAGAAGTGAATGAAAGCATCCTAGTAGAAGATGAAGGACAATGATAACAGGGCGACTGTTTTTGATGGGAACAAGAAGAAAAGAAAATGCTTTTCTTACATGCAAAGACAATCAGAGTGGTGCCTCATAAACATCAGCCAGGCCAAACCTGTACAGTGGAACTTTGGTTCTCAAACGGCTTAGTTGACAAACAAATCGGCTCCCAAACGCTGAAAACCTGGAAGTGTTCCGGTTTTCAAATGTTTTGCAGAAGGCAAACGTCCAACACGGCTTCCGCTTGAGTGCAGGAAGCTCCTGCAGCCAATCAGAAGCTGCACCTTGCTTTTTGAACAGTTTCAGGAGTCGAACGGACTTCTGGAATGGATTAGGTTCGAGAACCAAGGTTCCACTATTGCTGTTATTCCACTGTATTGCTCTCCTGGAAAATGGCAACAGAGACTCATTGAGCCCAGTTCTAGGGAACAGTGCATTAACAATAGTAACAAACATATGTTTCTCTGATTCTGTCTTACTAGTACTCTCTGTAGCATACTGTGACAGTCAAAAGCACAAGGAGTTTGTAGATAGTAATAATGTGTTTGGGCAACATAGCCTCAGACATGGCAAGGATGGGTGTGTCTGCTCATACATATAAAACAAGGGCAGGTGCTTTGTATCCCATGAACATATTCCAGCATTGCCAAGAGTTATCGTTAAAATAAGCTATGAAACTGCAATATGTAGCTTGGTGCCAGTTTTACTGAAAAAGTCCCCAAGTGTGAAAGAAAACACAAATACTCAGAAGCAGATTGTCCAGAGAAGTAAAAGGCAGGAAAGTAAAGGACCCCTGGACAGTTAAGTCCAGTCAGAGGTGACTAAGGGATTGCGGCACTCATCTCGTTTTTCAGGCCAAGGGAACCGGCTTTTGTCCATAGCCATGTGGCCAGCATGACTAAGCCGCTTGTGTGCTCACTGTGCATCTGCCAGGACTGGAACTGGAAGAGCTAGAGATGCCACACAGGTTAAACACACTTGCTGCCACCGCAAGAAAAGGTCTCTGAGAAGACAGGCAGATTATTGCAAAGCTAAGAGAACAAGAAATACTACTCTGTGTGGAACCCATCTCTGTGTAGAGGTTATCCAACGAAATGAGAACAATTGGCCACAGTGTATTGTGCAAATTGGGAATATACCAATCCAGGTAAAACCGAATGATGTGACTTATGTTCTGAGAGGTGCTGTGGGGTTTCTGGGGAAGCCAGTCAATCAGCGTGAATGCCATGGGGCAATTATTGTTGGAGACATGATGACAGTGGGAGGAATATAAGGGAAAAGAAGTGATATTGCAGCAAGATCAAGCAAATCATTTGTTATCTTCATATTTATGGTGTATAGAAACATATAAGTTTTGCAAGAAGCTTTCTATATCCTTTTGAGGCTGTTGCATGGGGGGGCGGAATGCAAGGGAGGCAAGAAATATTTTCTATGGCTGCTCCTGGTAAACATGCTATTTTCCTGGGGACTCAATTCAACAGTACATTACAGTTACTAAATGGTGTTTCCATACCACAGCTTTTAAAATATGGAATCTGTGTATATAAAGCTCACACATTCTAGTCTGCTTTAATTCACTCCTCACAAATTATGTTTCTGGAATTTGTGCTGCTGAAAATATTTTTTTTCAATAAATGACAAGTGACTGTGTATATGGATATTTGCATCTGATGCTTGTATATATGTTTACATGGCTATTTGCATAAATGTTCCTCTTACTAATTTCTGAAAGAATGTTTCAAGTTAACACTTAAAGCTCGTTACCACTACCATCTATATTTGCATTTTCAAGTTGAACCCAACATCTTATTCCCCATGAAAACACATTTCAAAACATACTGTAATTCAAAATAAGGTGAAAGGAGTTTGCATGGATGCCCAAATAACAAAAGCTCTGGAGGCAATTGGGCAATATTGAAGGGACCAGAAAGGTCACACCCTGAGTAAGTCACAGTTTTGTTGGGTGTTAGGGTGATGCCTAGGACCCCCAGTTTGAGTATCAGTTACTCAGTTTGGGTGGCCCTGCAAAACATGGGTTTTGCGTTACAAAACAATTACAAAACTTCAGCACCAATTTGGAGAGGACTCCAAATTTCAGAGTTCGCAGTTAATGAGGCTCCTTCAACTGAGTCAGACCACTGGTCCATCTAGATAAGTACAGTGGTACCTCGGGTTACAGACACTTCAGGCTACATATGCTTCAGGTTACAGACTCCACTAACCCAGAAATAGTACCTCGGGTTAAGAACTTTGCTTCAGGATGAGAACAGAAATCGTGCCGCAGCGGCAGTGGAAGGCCCCATTAGCTAAAGTGGTACCTCAGGTTAAGAACAGTTTCAGGTTAAGAACGGACCTCCAGAACGAATTAAGTTCTTAACCCGAGGTACCACTGTATTGTCAACTGGCAGGAAGTCTCAGGAGTCATCCTGACATGTCAGGGTTAAATCTGAGGCAGTTTGCAAACAGCAAGTCCTGTATCGTTTAGCCACAATTCTCTGAAATGCACGCTCCCAAGCTCGACTCCTCTTTCCCAATTTGTGTGGGTAATAACATAAAAGCACACTGCAGTGTTGCCACAAGCCACTCTCACCTTCCTGTATCCAACATGTAATATGCATAGAAACTATATTTGCATTAAAACTATAGTTGCATGTGAAGGGCATTTAATTTTTTTTTAAATGCCCTTCTTTCCCCCCTATCTGTTTAAGTATTTCTAGACCACCTAACCAGGAGGGAAGCAACATCATATACAGTATAACCAGAACATTCTGTCTGAAGACAAAAGAACTGTGTGTCTTGAATGTTTTTATGTCCACAGAATGGTCCCTAGGAGAATCATATTTTGTTCATTTATCAGATTTCACACTAGCCCTTCACCAAAAAGGTGCCAAGGCAACTTAAAACAAAACAACAATACAATTTAAAATGAGGAAAAGCCAATACAGTCGTGCCTTGGAAGTCAAATGGAATCCGTTCCGGAAGTCCGTTCGACTTCCAAAATGTTCAGAAACCAAAGCGCTGTTTCTGATTGGCTTCAGGAAGCTGCTGCAATCGGAAGCTACGGAAGTTCCATCGGATGTTCGGCTTCCAAAAATAGTTCACAAACTGGAACAGTCATTTCTGGGTTTGTGGCGTTCAGGAGCCAAAACATTTGAGAACTAAGCTGTTCAAAATTCAAAGGTACGATTGTATATAATAATATCACCCAATACAACAGTTTGGAATGTTGCCTCTCTAGATCACGGCATCTCACTAATTAAACCCTTTTAGGTTTTGTACTGGGAAAAGTGAAAACCAAAAACTGAAAGTCTTTGTAAGAACTGCTTATGGAGATGGATTAAATTAGTGTGACACACCATCACAATCCTTTAAATTCCTTCTGGATTAAAATTTCCATGCAAAATAGTGGATTCTTCACCATTAGAAATGTGAAGAGATATAAATACAGCACCTCTGCAGTTATAGAAAATCATAGCCAATGGTTTTCTGATTTTTACCAGAAAACCAGACTGTGCGCTGCTCTACCATTGCTGTTTCTATAGGACTGCTCCCTGGACCAATCATGGTAGGGCGTCACTTTATGAATGGAAACACTTTGGAAGGAAGTTCTTTAGGTACTGCATTGGAAAGAGCAGCAAAACTTATAGGACATTTAAGGCTGGAAGTTCTCATAAGGATTGGGATCTCCTCTTGGTGATGCAAAACGGGCTTTGAATTGCCTTGGGGAGAAGATAGAGCAGGCATAGGCCTCCAGATGTTTTGGGACTATAACTCTCATCATCCCTAGCTAACAGGACCAGTGGTCAGGGATGATGGGAATTGTAGTTCCAAAACATCTGGAGGGCCGAGTTTGGCTATGCCTGAGATAGAGGATGGTTCCTGAAGCTGCTGAGTTAAAGGTTCTGGAGCAAGACGGTTTGAGCATATAACACCAATCCTGGTCCGACTGCACTGGCTACCAATTAGTTTCCGGGACCAATTCAAAGTGCTGGTTTTGACCTATAAAGCCTTAAACGGCTCAGGACCGCAATACCTCAAGGACCGCCTCTCTCCATATGAACCTACCTGGACCCTGAGACCATCTTCAGAGGCCCTTCTTTGTGTGCCTCCTCCTCGAGGGGTCCGGAGCGTGGCAACACGAGAACGGGCCTTTTCTGCAGTGGCTCCCCATCTGCGGAATGCTCTCCCCTGGGAAGTTTGCCTGGCGCCTTCATTATAAACCTTTAGGCGCCAGGCAAAAACATTCATTTTTAACCAGGCCTTTGGTTGATCTTATTGACATCCTATGCCCTTTTAAAATGTGGCTCTTTTGGGGGGAGGGTATTATTGGGTTGTCATTGAGACAGTGGGTGGAAACGCAAAAAGAGTTTAATCACAGCTGCAGCAGTGAGTCTTGGTAGGATTATTTTTGCTGAGATAGCTTCACCTAAGTAACCTCCCAGGGGCGCAAGTCTGGGCAGTGTGTATGGAGGCCCTGGGCTACCTAAATGACAAGACGCTCCTCTTGGCCTTGCAGATGTGGCCCAAAGGAAAGCAGAGCAATACATTCAGCACCAGCTTTGCTGTAGTTGTTGCCAGAAGGCAGCATACAAGATGCCATCCAACTGTCTTAGGGACTTGACTCTGGATTTGTGTAGGGTTTACTCCTTAGCCTTTCCTTCTCCCAAAGATGTCCCACTATGATAGGATAAAAAGGGCCTTAAATTCTAATTCTATTTTTTAAAAACTTTTTAAATTCAAAATTAAAACAAAGCATATTATCCAGAAACATATCATCCTTATTCCCCCCCATTTTTCCTCCCTCCCCCACCTTCCCCCACAAAACCCCCCCACCCCCGACTTCCCTTAGTTCCCGTGTTTGATTTCTCTAAGAATGTTGTTTTCTGCATGTTACACAGTTGTATAGATCCTCAAACTATTTAGCTGATAATTATCAATAAAAAGTTTGTGAATGTTTATTCAAAGCCATTTAAATTTTTGGCTTTAAATTCTAATTCTAAAGATGTTTACTGAAAAGCAACTTCCATGGAACTGATGGGGTTTAGTTCAGATCATGGGTTGGATTGCTCTTCCACCAATGGAAGGACTCGGAATGGACTGAGATCCTGTGGAGGTTCTGATGGAAGAAAACAAGGAGGTGATTTGTGCCAAGAATTCGCAGTGCCATATCCTGTATCAGAGGGTCTCTCCCATTCAATGGAGCTCTGGATCCACGCCTATGTACATTTAGGTCTGAAACCCATATGCAAAGAACTGCATAACTAGTTGGGGGAACCTAGGAGTGCTTTGGATGTCCACTCCCACCCCAAAGCAGCCACTCTCCTTGCAAAATGGGAAGCCATGTCCCAAAGCTGGGGCAGGATGTTCGAGATGCATTTTGTGATATTGAAGGGCCTCAGAAATAGAAATTCCAGCATGCTGTTATCAAAGCCACTGTTACAAGACGGGCAAGGCCATAAGCAGGCAGACAAACAAAGCAACTGTTATAAGACACGGAAGGCCGTAGCAGGCAGACAAACAAAGAATGAGTAAATTAAGAAGTGTTAACCTTCAAAAGGAGAAACATGGAATGTTAGAGCCTGATTGGATAAGAATGTAAAGTCTCACTCTCTCTCTCTCTTTTTTTTTTTTTTTGTATAGTCTATAAAAAGTGGGCGCACCCTGACTGGGGTGTGCAGATTGCAAGCTTATCACTCTGTACCTTTGTTCTGCATATGCATTTCAAATAAATCATGTTGAATCCTGCAAGGTTGGTTGCCACTTCGTGTGAATCTGTGCTCCGGGGACCCAATAGCAGATAAGGAGCAGGTCCATCAATATGACACCATGGGCCTTCCATTCAAAGAGGACAGAGTCAGAAACCTCATTGGCTACATCCAAGCCCTTGAGTATACCTAAAAATCATTCTTTATTGTTTGCTTCTTATCCATAGGTGTTCACAGACGTGCCTCAAAACAGGAGTTTTCGTGTGGAATGATTTCTGCTTGGACACAACAGAATGTTGATTGCTGCACTGGCTCCTCAGTTGTTACAGAGCCCATGCCATCACCACCATGTGTAGCTCCTTCAGCTCCCAACATTAGGAACCTATTTCCACAGAGCTTGTTTTCGGGAGCAGTTGTACGTCTGCCCAAGCAGCAAGTGCCCTTCCGCAGTGGAACTTCCCACGTGCCGTTTTTGTACATCTTTTGTACACAGCCTCTGTTCTACTCCTCATGACCACTAGAGGGCATCTCGGTTCCAGGTTTGAACAAAAGCTCACCTTTCTCTGTATGAAATGTAAACAGTACATGGGCAGTTTAGGGTTTATTTTTCCCAACTTGTATATTTAATATATTGTATTTGCAATCCCTGTGTGGTTAGCCATTTGGAATGCTTTGGGTATGGGTTTTATGAACTCGGTTGTTCGCAAGTAAAGAAATTAAATAAAAAAGCTCTTAGTCTTTGCTGGAAAACCAGCAAGCAGGATTTGAGCACAAGAGCACTCTTTCTTCTCTGGTTTCCCAGAAACTGGTATTCAGAAGCAACACTGCTTCCAGATGTGTGGCAGAATATAGCCATCATGGCTAGTAGCCACTGATAACCCTCTCTTCCATGAATTTGTTTAAGCTTCTTTTAAACCACCCACGTTGTTGGCCATTGCTGCCTCCTGTGGCAGTGAGTTCCATAGTTTAACTGGGCTACACAGAGAAATACTTTCTTTCATCTGTTCTGAATCTTCCAACATTCAGCTTCATTGGATAGCCACCAGTTGTAGAGTTGAGAGAGGGGAACAAAACGTTTTTATCAACACCCTTGTCTATGCAATGCCTTTTAGTGGTTAAAATTATTATTATTATTATTATTATTATTATTATTATTATTAATACCTAGCCCATCTGGCTGAGTTTCCCCACCTCACTTCTCGCAATGAGGGAACCGCCAGAAGGCCCTCGGTGCTGAATTATAGTGTTATTATGTCACCATTAAAGAAACTGCATCAAGTTATCATCGCATAGTGTAAATATAAATCTATAGATGCCTGAATTTTAGCGACATGCAAACATTACAGCTCTTATATTTACAGTATATGAATTCATGTTTTTAAAAGTTACCCTTCCTTCTCTTTTTGCTTCGAGCAGAGGGCGCTGTGATTCCACGAAAGCCTCTTCCATGCTCGGTGTTTGAGAAGCAAATCAGGCCACCTCCGGCAGGAAACGTGGTTTCCTCGTGATCTGGGGCCTCCTGGGCTGCCTATTCAGTGTGCTGGTGTTGCCTTGACACGTAGCCAGCATGTGCTTGAGCAACTCCGATCCCTTAGCGCGCATAATAAATTCAAAGGCACTGGCTCTGCAGTGAATCAGATGGCGACATAGGAGGAATGGATATAACAGGGGCATTTTGTCTCAGCTTCAACCTCCTTAATCAGAATGTTACTTATAACGGTGATGCCTTTGCAACAGGTGACTCTAGAAAAAGGGGAACACAACCACACACACAATACAATTTGCCGCATTACTGGAGTAATTTCTCAAGGGAGTTTTCCCAAGCGGCACTCAAAACTCCTTTAACCTTCTGCATGGAGTGTCTAGTGCTGCAATCCTAACCTCACTCAGCTGGGAATAAGTAATAATTCAATGTAATTCAATAGGACTTTCTTCTGAGTCGACATGGTTAGGCTTGCTTTGTTATTCACCCTGCCCTCTCCATCTTGGAACTGAGTCTGCAAGCTAACCTCATGGCTACTCTTTATTTTGTGTAACATCTTGCCTGTTGAAGCATTCTGGGTAACTCAAAAGCTTGCCCTTATTTTGTGACATTTTGCTTAGTTGCAACTGCTAAACAACAACGACAAACTGCTATAAACCGACACAGCTACTTTTGTTTTTCATGTTACTTGCTTGTCCGTGTGACTTAATCACTATAATGCAATTTTATATGTTGATCAAGTACTACTCTATTTCAACCACAGTTTAGTTTTTGGATCATCTGTAAACAGAGTGCTTTCTACCTGAAGCTCATTAGGTATCTGGCTCCATCCTGTTATTACTATGCAGCTGTATACTTTCCAAATTAAGCCAATGTAGGAGCAATCTGCTTACAGAACTAGCTGGGAGTGTGACAACCTTTTCAGTGAGAGAAGCCTCACTTAAGAACAGTGGCAATGTAAATTGGTTGATGAGACCGAATTGGTGAGGATTTAATCAAATTTCAAGTAATTCATGCATATTCCCCAAGAATTCTGATTTACCTATAACTACACACTTTTACATTGTATGCTACAATCTATACATTTTTAGAGCCTTATGGAGGTCTGGCTATCATTTTCATAATTGCAAAACAGCACTTGTACCAAGAAACTGATATGTGTGCTGCAAAACGACCTTAATTTAGGCCGAACTACATCCATTGTTAAGAGTTCATTTTCTTCTTTGGATACTAGATCTAACAGCCTTTGACTAGTTACTTTGATTATCTTTGCAGCCTCTTCAAACTCTACAATTCTATGAAGCAGCAGCAGGGAAACTTTGGCCAGCTGGATGTTACAGAACTACAACTCCCATCAGGGCTAACAAGTATGGTCAAAGACCATGGATGAAGGGAGTTGTAGTTTAGCAACATCTGAAGGGACAAAGGTTCCCTACACCCACTTTAAATCAAGTGGCTTTCTTACTGGGTGTCAGGGACTGGCTAGATGGTGAGGAGTGGTGGGAGGTACCAGCTGGGCAGCCCCTAAGGAAAGTTTCAGAGGAAGAAGGCTTAGAGCCCAGGAATTGGTGGTGGGACACTGAGCAGTGGTCAGAGGGAGAATGGAGGGATGCTGAAGAAGAAACAGGCTTTTGTGAGCAAGGAGAGCCTGTGACAGGGAGCAGCTCAGACTCAGAGGCTGAAGCAGAGGATGGGGCGGGCGGGCTGCAGGAGAATCCCAAGCCAGGAGTCTGCCACTCTTACTGCTACAAGTTCTCCTCCCCGCTTGTCTCCAAGGACACACAAGGTGATGTGTATGGTGGAACAGAGATTACAGGTGCCCTGGCATAGTTTGAGGCTGCTTGGGAAACATCTGGCAGAGAAAGAGACCTAGAGGAAGTAGAGGGCGGGGACCGCCAGTCCTGGCAACTGCTGAACAGGGGCAAGTCCTGTCGGGAGGTATGGCTGCACACTGTAAGCTGCTTTCTTGAATAAAGAATTAACTACAACTGCCGAACCCCACGTCTTGTGTGATGACCTGCAGCTGACCCATTTTGGGGAGCATAAGGGTGAAATTCCTTAAGGTCAGCCTTCCTTTGAATGTTGGAACAGACCCTCAAATGACCTTGCCATGAGTGACAGTAAGGCAGCCTTCATGGGCATTTATGCATGGTATTATTATTATTATTATTATTATTATTATTATTATTATTACCCCACCCATCTGGCTGGGTTTCCCCAGCCACTCTGGGCGGCTTCCAACAGAATATTAAAACACAATAGTCTATTAAACAATAAAAGCTTCCCTAAACAGGGCTGCCTTCAGATGTCTTCTACAAGTCTGGTAGTTGTTTTTCTCTTTGACATCTGGTGGGAGGGCGTTCCACAGGGCGGGTGCCACTACCGAGAAGCAAATGGCCAGGTATTGAATTAAGATGCACTTTTTGGATTTTCCACATGGGGCACCAAATTATTTTGGGCCAGTCTTGGACGATACTAAAAAGAAAAGAAAAAAACAGACTCCAAGTAGCTTCCACAGCATTCTCCTCTCCTGTGGTTTCCAGAAACTGGTACTCAGACTGCCACTGACAGTCAAGGGAGAGCATAGCCTTCAGTGGCCTTTGATTGCCGTCTTCTCCATGAATTTGATGGGACGCAGGTGGCGCTGTGGGTTAAACCACAGAGCCTAGGACTTGCCGATCAGAAGGTCAGTGGTTCGGATCCTCGCGATGGGGTGAGCTCCCGTTGCTCGGTGCCTGCTCCTGCCAACTTAGCAGTTCGAAAGCACGTCAAAGTGCAAGTAGATAAATAGGTACTGCTACGGCGGGAAGGCAAACGGCGTTTCCGTGCGCTGCTCTGGTTCACCAGAAGCAGCTTAGTCATGCTGGCCACATGACCCAGAAACTGTATGTCGGCTCCCTCGGCCAATAAAGCAAGATGAGCGCCGCAACCCCAGAGTCGGTCACGATTGGACCTCATGGTCAGGGGTCCCCTTACCTTTACCATGAATTTGATTAATCCTCTTTTAAGGACATCCATGTTGGTGGTCATCACTTGCAGGAGTGAATTCTGTAGTTTACCTAAACACTGTGTGGAGAAGTATTTCCTTTCTAGTATTAAGAGGAAGGGAAAAAATCTTTTCTCTATCCAGTTTCTTCCATCATGTCCCCTCGCCTCTTCTCTAAACCAGGGTTTCCCAAACTTGAGTCTCTTGCTGTTTTTGGACTACAGTTTCCATCATCCCTGTCCACTGGTCCTGCTAGCTAGGGATGATGGGAGTTGAAGCCCCAAAAGAGCTAGAGACCCAATTGTGTGGGAAACTCTTCTCTAAACTAAAAGAGCCCTAATGTTGTAATCTCTCCTCTTAGTGGGGGTTGTTTGATCGTTTGGGTTGCCCTTTTCTGAACCTGTTTTCCAACTCTACAACATCCTTTTTGAGGAGAGGCAAGGTGAGGAGGTGAAGGAAGGCAAACCAAAACTGTACATAGCATTCAAAACACAGTCACATCATAGATTCCTAGAATGGCATTATGATACCAGCTGTTTTATTTTCAGGTCATTTCTTAATGATCCCTAGCATGGATCCCTAGGAATTTGCTTTCTTTTCCCCTAGAATTTGCTTTCTTTTTCACAGCTGCCACACACTGGGTTGACAGCTTCACTAGAACGTTTGTTATTTACTTGGCACGACTGGTTGTCATTTTAAAATCGCCAAACATCACTGCAGAGTCAGCCAGCCCTACCTAGTGCACATGTATTTTTCATTTCCTTTGGCTGACTCTGCCTTCCATACACAATAAGCAGCTTGCCAAATCTTTTCCATAACCAGGCCCACCTGGGGAGTGAGTTTGTATGTTCTGTCTGGTGTGCTTCTCTCCACCAGCCTGGATTGTCAGCTGAAACATTCAAAGTCTTTCTTACCCAAAGGAAATGTGGTTTACCCAGCTCCTGAGTATGATGTCATTACTGCTTCAACTGGATTTAATTGACTCAAGGCACCAAAGCCTGGAGTTCTGATATATTTTCCAAGGTGGGAGGTTTTGGTTTTGAGAAGATCTCCTCTCTCTCTGTGTGTGTGTGTGTGTGTGTGTGTGTGTGTGTGTGTGTGTTGTTTTGTCTCATGCCTCAATGGCTTAGGAAGAAGCAGCTCCATGCCACACATGGCCTAGAATAGGCATAGGCAAACTCAGCCCTCCAGACGTTTTTGAGACTACAAAACCTGACCACTGGTCCTGTTAGCTAGGGATGATGGGAGTTGTAGTCCCAAAACCTCTGGAGGGCCAAGCTTGGGGATGCCTGAACTAGAAACCATGTGACCTGTATCACTGGAGTCTTTAAAACATTTTGAATAAAAAGCTCTTGAAATCTGAATTTTTTCTAAGCATCACCCAAGGCAAACAAAGAAAAACGAAACAGGTTATTATATGAATAATAATGATTATAGTATTTATTAGCCACTTTTCTTACAAGCGACTTAGATCACAGCCAATTGACCCCCCCCCCTAAAAACGCAGCAATACAAACAAAAAGGCAGGACTACAAGTTGTTCTGCTGCCTTATACACCACGATTCTTGTGTTTTGCACTGTACGAAAACACTTTACAATAAAAACATTTTATGTCCTCTGGTATCAAGCATGAGCTCACAATTTAAAGGCCCTTGCCTATATTGCTTGGTCGCTCTTGCTCTCTCTCTCTTTTTAGGCCCTTGCTGAGATCAGCAAAGCGGAAACCAGACTTCAGTTATCTCACCACCACTCATGTGTCTTCCAGGCATCCAGAGTGCCAGTAAGACTCTGCGGGTGGCAGCGATTAACAAACAGTTCTTGCCAATAGATTAAATTGCCAAATAGACCTGGGCTGTGAGCTTTTGCTCCTGTGCAAGGAGACCTTGGGGCAGCTTACAGGCAGTTGACTGGAGATGGCGAAGCGGTGGCCCTTCGGATGTTGTTAGACTCCAACTCCCACCAGCCCTGGCTTTTGGCCTGATGGGAGTTGGAGTCCAGAAATATATGGAAGGCCACATTTTCCCTAACCATAGTATGACTAACCTGGCAGGCACTCAATCACCCTTCAGAATTTTGAACCATCCCCCCCCCCCCAGCTAACGAGCGGAAAGCCTTTAGTTGGCGATATCAGGGTTGGAGGATGGGAGCATAGTGCGTGCATCTAATTTATTTAGTATTATGCATATAATTTATTGATTGTTGATGTGTTCTACCATTGATTCAGGCCCCTTCCATAAAGCACATGCGCCCATCCTGACCAATTTACAGAATTCAATAAGGAAACAACAGAAGGGCTTTAAAACTCCATTTATGTTGATGGTTGGTTTTGTGTTTTCTCGTGAATTTACTGGGTCTTATGAAACCTATTTCCTCTGTGGCTCAAGATCAAGCAATAGGTTTCGAGCTGGTTCTTATTCTGTAGAGTGCTCAGGTTTCTCAGTAAGAATGCTTTCGCAGCTCCTGCATTCATTGAACTGGCCTCCTGAGGCCCGTGGATATTTTCTCCTTTACTAAGCTCCCTTAGAATGGAGTCAAGTTATATTTACACCAACCATGAGTGACACTGGGAGATCTGTGATGAGATCTTCCATGTGGTTTGGCATTCCCCACCTCCCCAGTTCAAAGCAGCTGCGAGAGATCCTGCATCAGATCAGGGGAGTGACCTAGTAGAGGTGAATTTTAACTGTGCCATTTTCCTAATCTAAATCAGTCCAAAGGTGCTATTTGCCCACACAGAGAGGATTGATCCAGACTTCATTTTGTGCTGTGTTACTAGGCCTGAGCTTTAAAGCTCCATGTCCAAGTGATTTCTTTCACCCCTGGAAAAACCCACATTTGGAATTGTGGTTTGCTCTGATTCAGTCGTAAAATGTGGGTATACCTGGGGAAAGCACCAGGACAAAAGAAAAAATTAATGCTCAGACAAAGAGCTTTAAAGCATGGATCTGTGCCTGGGAAGTACGGTAC